AGATGAAATGTCGAATTCTGAAGCCGAAAAACCGCTTTTTTTAACGTAAATCATTTTTTGAGGGCGATAGGGAGCCTCGGAAAATCTGGAAAAATTTTTTCTTTATTTTCTCAATCAAAATACATTACCTTGAATTTTTTCAGATTTTTTCAGATGAAATGTCGAATTCTGAAGCCGAAAAACCGCTTTTTTTAACGTAAATCATTTTTTGAGGGCGATAGGGAGCCTCGGAAAATCTGGAAAAATTTTTTCTTTATTTTCTCAATCAAAATACATTACCTTGAATTTTTTCAGATTTTTTCAGATGAAATGTCGAATTCTGATGCCGAAAAACCGGTTTTTTTAACGTAAATTATTTTTTGAGGGCGATAGGGAGCTTCGGAAAATCTGGAAAAAATTTTTCTTCATTTTTCTCGCTAAAATAAAAGAGCTCAAATTTTTTTCAGATTTTTTCAAATTAAATTTCGAGTTCTGAAGTCTAAAAACTATTTTTAACAAAAGTATATCGTAAAAAGCTGAAGCTTCGGTGAACTTCGGTTTTTATGAAAAATTTTATTATTTTTTGGTTTTTGCATTTTTTCGCTCGAGGCCTCTTTTTTTCAATCTAGAACATCAGATAGATTAAGACTCAATTCTGAAGACATAACAATTTATTAAGATGATAAAACTGGTTTTTAATTTATGCAAGTAATTTTCAGTATTGTAGCATGATTTTTTTTAAATATAACAGCAAAGCTTATTTATTTCTATTTTTCTGTTGTTTGTGAATTAAATTATTTATATTACTAATTTTCATGTTTAACTAGTTCGACCAAAGATGAAGGTCGTGAATCCATTGATGAAAATAATCCAGCATTCATTCTTGATGTATCGAGTGGTTCAAAGCAATGATAGCTTCTTGTATTTTTAATGGGGTGTGTTGTCTCAAGTCTGCTTTTTAACTGTTCTCTTCTTATTTCGACATCATCGTTAGATACGTAGTGGTAGCTAAATTATTTAAATATATTTTTAAATGATAAATAATCACTGCGTAGTGAGCTTGTACAAAAAAATGTTCTACCTGATTGTTGAATCACTTGAACTCAAATAGTCAAACATTTGCTTAGGCGTAAGTATTATTGTGCCTTGCAGGGAAGCTTTTCTTGATGCACGTTTTGCTGTAGCTCCAATACCATCACACGCACTTTTTCCATGTGATGTAGCAAAGAAGTTGTAAGATTTTACCGCTAACGAAAAATCATTTTTATGGTGACAAACATTGATTAGATGATTTCTGTAATATGAATATCAATAAGAAGTTATAGTACTATTACAAAAACAAAGATATCAAGCTTGACTAAACGAACCTATTTTTAAACTGTGTTGGAGCACCATCAGAAAAGTAGATCAAGTTTTTTATCCATGGATATAATGTTTTTATTTTATCAATAATAGGTTGCTGAAATGCATTAACAGAATAAGCTTGGTGAGTAGAACAATCCGAAATGACGCAGAAACAAAGAGTTTTTATATCATTATCTCTTTGATCTTTATAATAAAATATTGCTGTGAATAGTGTTGCACTAGTATTATTAAAGTAATAGCCTTGTGTAGAGTTTTGAGATATAAATGTATAGTTTTCAGCAAAATCCATGGTTAATACACCAGTATCTAAATCTATTTCTTTCCTTTTTTTCGAGTAATATTCGCTTTGTTTGATTGAAATAAAATGATGAGATGTCATATTCCAGATATCGTCTATGACACTATTCAAAACTAATTCGAAAAGTTCGTTATACTCTACGAGCGTCACTCTATTCATGGATTTTTTTGAATCATCTTTACCCCATTGCGTGTACTTTACTTCTTTTTTAGTATCAATATCAATTCCTTTAGCTACAATTTTTTTCATTCCATCTTTACTTGGGCAATTTGAACAATTGTGAAACATACATTCTTGATTATCCAGTGAGCAAACTCCTGCTTCTATGACTTCTTTATAATTTAACTTCGGATTTATGGCACACAGTTTCAGTTTAACATTTTGATGGATTCCACAAACACACACGTTATGTGTACCTGAATCTCCAGCAAAAATACATTGCTCGGGTTTCAAGCTTGCAAAAAAAGCCAAACAAGGGATATTATCAAGCTTTGTCTCCTCTATCCACTTTTTGTACAATTCTTTTAAATCAAATAAAATTACTCTTTTTTGTACTTTTATTTTTTCTCCATCTGATGTTGTTATAGTTATGCATTCTTTTTCGCCACTGGTCGACAGACTGTTAGAATCATCCAAAAAAAATTTTTTAATCTCTTCTCTTACTTCTACAGGGACACGCAAATAATTTTTTCTCACTCGAGTACCTAGTACACCTATGAAATAGATAATTTACATGTAAGTAAAATTTACTCATAGTAAAAAAGTTAGACGGAAAATGAGATTAATATTCATATGCTTACCAAAGTTTTGTTTTAATTTATTCGCCTGCCTGACCATATATGCAGAACAATGAAAATATTGTTTAATCTGTGCAAGTTTCCAATTATCAGGTAACAATGTCAATAACGAAATCTGTTCATCGTAAGAAGATACTTTATACTTGGTTTGAAGATTTTCAATCATGCTATTAAACCAGGAACTTTCATTATACAATTTTTTTATATTGTCCAATTTTGGCATTTGTACATTATGTACGTCCTCAATGGATTCTGAAACTTTTTGGGAAATATTCTGTACAATCTCTAAACCTTTTTGAACTAAACGATCATCGGTCAGCTTTTGTCGTTTAAATGAAGGAATATCGAAAGTTTCCAAAATGCTGTCAAGATTTCTCTTTTTTTGAGTATCTGATTCGTATATTGACTTTGTTGTACTTTGAGTAAACTCCGGTGTTTCTGATGCTGAATCAAATTGTTGCGAATTTATGCTCGGTGGTGGAAAGAGAACTAAAGATTCCATTGACGAAGAAAGTTCTAATGATTGCTTATAATCTGAAATTTCATTATCTAATAAGGTACTGCAAGAATTGCAAATTTTATGTTCTGCAGACAGATTAAGGTCAAATTTTTTTAGTAAGTGATCAATATACTCTTTTGTCAAATTATTAAGTAAATTTTCTTCGACTTTGACTCTATGCTTTTTGAAAGGATCTATGCAATACTTAAGTTCATTTTCAAAATTTTCAAAGCAGGTAAAAAACTTTGCCTGACAATGGAAACAAATTTTTTGACCAGGCACAATATTCATGTTGCATATTTTTTTTACTTTTCTTGAAAACTCAAGTTCAATTATCTTCAAAGCGTCTAGTATCATCTTAGAATGCTCATTCCAAGGATCACAACATTTCTTATAAGATGACGAATAATGAAGGATGTATTTCTTATAATGGTAATCACATATTGATTTTTCTTCAATATCTTGTAATCCCGGCACTCTCAAGCACAGACATTGACGTAAGGTTTTCGATAGAGTATTAATTTTATGCGTACACTTTTTCGCGCGGTATTGGTCATCATGACATCCATCAGTTACGAAACTCTTAACGCAGCACTCATCTACATTCGCCATTTTTGTTTGATACTCACTTTTTACACTTTTGACTTTACACTACTCACTGTACACTAATCACTTCGATAATTTTACTTTGAAATTTATGTATTCACTTTGAAATCACTTTTAATTATAATCACATAGATACACTCACCTTACAAAATTACCCCTATATAAGCGGATAACTTTGCTCTGTCTCTTTTGATTTCTGAGAATTGGGACCTACGCCATCTATGGGTAATTTTGGTACCAAGTAAATTTATGTCAACAATGACATGTTCTAGATTGAAAAAAGAGGCTTCGAGCGAAAAAATGCAAAAACAAAAAAATAATAAAATTTTTCATAAGAACCGAAGTTCACCGAAGCTTCAGCTTTTCACGATATACTTTTGTTAAAAATAGTTTTTATACTTCAGAACTCGAAATTTAATTTGAAAAAATCTGAAAAAAATTTGAGCTCTTTTATTTTAGCGAGAAAAATGAAGAAAAATTTTTTCCAGATTTTCCGAAGCTCCCTATCGCCCTCAAAAAATGATTTACGTTAAAAAAAGCGGTTTTTCGGCTTCAGAATTCGACATTTCATCTAAAAAAATCTGAAAAAATTCAAGGTGATGTATTTTGATTGAGAAAATAAAGAAAAAATTTTTCCAGATTTTTCGAGGCTCCCTATCGCCCTAAAAAAATTATTTACGTTAAAAAAAGCGGTTTTTCGGCTTCAGAATTCGATATTTCATCTGAAAAAATCTGAAAAATTTTGAGGTTATGTGTTTTGATGAAAAAAACAAGAAAAAAATTTTTCTAGATTTTTTGAGGCTCCCTATCGTCATAAAAAAAATTATTTTCGTTAGAAAAAGCGGTTTTTCGGCTTCAGAATTCGATATTTCATTTGAAAAAATCTGAAAAAATTTGAGGTTATGTATTTTGATGAAAAAAACAAGAAAAAAATTTTTCCAGATTTTTTGAGGCTCCGTAGCGTCCTAAAAAAATTATTTTCGTTAAAAAAATCGGTTTTTGGCTTCAAAAGGTGCGTTAGGTAATCTGAAAAAATCTGAAAAAAATTGAGGTAATGTTTTTCAATGCGATAAAAAACTGAAAAAATTTTCGTTCACTACATCGGCTCATACCGCCGTATCTCGATTTTTGAAATTTTCAATAATTTTTTCTGAAGGCCTGAAGCACTCAAAAAATCTGAAAAAATTCAAGGTTGTTTGGATTGTGGAAAAGTATTTTTGTGAATTTTTTCAGATTTTTTAATTGCTTCATGTTCTCAGAAAAAATATCGATAGAAAATGGACGTTCATACCGGAAGTGGGGGGTAGGAGGGGGGAGGGGGTCTAAAATTTTGTTTTTGGGACCTATTTACCATGTACTATAACATACCAAAAGCGCGTCAAGATCGGTGACATACGTGCGCACGGTTTTGTAAAAAAGTATTATTTTGACCCATATATAGCTCTATAAATGTGTGTTGGTAGGCTGTGCGAGAGCTTTACTAATATAGGCATAAAAATGTCACGAACGCGAGAGCTCTTCTCTCTTCAGCCGCGAGATGCTATATAGATAAGGCGCATTAGTATTGCCATCTCCCGCTGGTATGTGCCGCGATCAGCCGGTGCTCGTATCGTACGTAATGGTGTACTCGTGCTCGGAATTGATCGATCCTCTCAAAAGGAAGCGATATTACTTACCGGTGTCGAGCTCGTCGCTGACGTCGTTGCCATTCTGAAACTCGTCGTCGGACTCGGTCCCGGAGTCGTGGTCGTCGTCCACCTGCAAAACCATAAGAAACAATTATAAGCGTATGCTATACAAAATCCAACGTGAAAACATAAACACACATATAATGCGTAACGCGACCAAATTTCGGAGCACGCTAGGGTACGCGTTGGCGCGCTTTTCATATAGCGTGATGGTGCTTTATTTTGAAACAAATCAATTTCATTATCAACCGTACGTCTACAGGTCAAAAAAGTCATTTATATATTCATCGTGTTTATTATTAAAAACGTATACATTATATTATGCTCAAACGACCATGACTGTGAACGCGTGTATATTGGCCGCGAGCCGTATAGTATAGTAATTACGAGAGACGCCGTGCAGAGAGATTACAAAATGCGAGAGAGGGGAAAAAACGTAAGGCAACACACATACACGCTTTATCTTCGCGCAAGATTCCAGTTTGCATTTATGTACAGGTGTGTATAAACACTATAGCATGTAAATTCACGCGATGATCGGTCTAATCACGTGTTCTCTCTCTCTCTCGGTCGGTCGATCGCATAACCGGTAAATTTGCCAAACGCGCCACGTTCGGAGATACATATTGTAATACATATGTGTGTGCGATACGTTATATGTATACAAAAAACAACAACGTGAATGACATTTCGTACTAGTGTCAGTTTTATCTAGCTTATATGCGAGAGAGGCTCGAGACGCACACGCAGCATAGCATAATACTTATAAGTAAGCAGAAAAAGACAGACAGCCAAGAGAGAGCCTTGAAACATATACAGTTGCTTGCGTACGTGCGTATCGCATTATATATATACCACGAGGAAGTGCGTCGTGAGTATTGTATGTATATAATACAACACACTGCCATTCGCATTATATATAGATGAATGTATACAGTATTTTAGCGACGACTGCAGACTATATTACGAAGAGAGAGGTGGGGAGGGATCGGCGAAACGACCAGTATAAAGAGAAAGCAAACACGCAGCGGACCAGAGGCTCGAGTCTTACGTTGCTGTATTATATTATATATAACATTATAACTATATATATATGTTTAAAAAATGTGTGTGCGTGTGTATTCGGTAAAATATCATGTACAGCACACACACACACACACACACAAACGTATAAATAGATGAACGACACTCACCTTCTGATTAGACTCGTCGTTGAGCGAATGGCTTCTCAGCTTGTGCGTGAGAAACTTGAGCATGGTGCCGTCGAACTTGTTGTTTTCGCCGGCTGCAGCATGATGCAGAGAGTGGTGTACTAACTGCGGCAGCGGCTGCTGATGCTCGTGCTGCTGCTGCTGTTGTGTTGTTGCCGGTATTAGTGGCAACGGCGCCGGCGGCGTGCAGGCCGTCGCTGCAGCGGACTCGTCGCACATCTTCGCGCGCGCACTCCTAACGCACTTCGATATATTATATTATTATAATATATATTTTTGTCCACGCTCGCGAACCTCGCGAAAAGGGCTACGCGTCCATTACCGCTTCTTTCTCTCCTCCTCCTCTCGGCGTGAATTATAAAATTGTTATTATTACGATTGCTGCTTGCTTATTTCGGAGCAGCATCACCTGCGCGTGCTCTTGTTGTTATTATTATTTTTATTATTGTTAGCCGCGCGCTGTGTAGCACGCGCACCCACGCACTACTGTGTACCGACGACGACCGGCACGAGGACACGCAAACATATACACACACACACTCACACGTACGCACACTTAGTCACTGGTGCACTCGTACTCTGTATGCAGGCAGCCGGCGACTCGCATCTCACCGTCGACGGCAAAATTACGACGACGACGACGAATGGAGCATGCCGCTTTGCTATCCAGCCTGACACCAAAGCTAACACTGTGTATTTTGTGTGTGGTGTATACCGACGACGACGATGAGCTGCGTCGTGCGAATATGTATCCTATAAGCACCTCGAGAGCGAGAGAGAGAGACAGATACAACGAGCGAAGAGGAGAGAAGAGTGGGAAGACGTATACACGCGGTGGCGGTGGCGGTGGCGGCGGCGGCGGTATGTGTAGTGTGTACACACACAGAGACACGCACACTGCTTCACTCACAGGTTTCTTCGGCAGCAGCGACCGCGGCGCGTTTCCGTCATGGCGTCCGCCCTACCCGCCGGAGCACATTATGCTCTCTCTCTCTCTCTTTTGCTCCGTTCCGTGCAGAGGTATACTGTATAACTATATGCTGCAGCACACACAACAAACACTGTGTTTTCATTCACAAAAACAAGCGGGAATTCGATAAAGGCCGCCGCTCCATGGCGCGCACTTTATCGGCGGCTCTCACTGCTGCACTGCACTTATTGTATGCTGCAGCTGTCGACGCGTTACTGCTGTCGACGATGTTGTTGTCGTTGTAGCTGTAGTTGTGGATGTTGTCGTTGGGTTCGCGATGACAGACTACCGGTAGCCGTGCACTGCTGCGAGTGCAGCGAGTTAACCGGCATCTCAGTCTCTGATCCACTGAATGTGTGCCAATTCTTCTGAAAAAGACAAATCGTAATAACGCGTTAATAATACTTGACAAAATTACTTAAATCCAATTATTATACTAGTAAACGTAAAGATTATTTATTGATAAGAGTAAAAAGTGGTTTTTGGTAGAAGCACAGACCCAAAAAGAGGGTAGGGGAAGCTTTTCGTGTGTCGCGGAACCTGCGGTACCACTCGCGGTACAGATTACGGACTGCAGACTACAGACTGGATATCAATTTTGCAATTAAAAGGCCAAGTTGAGCGAGGCATGACTCGCGTGATGGGTACAGGGGTAGGGGTAAATGCACATAGCTAAGCCGGCATTTCCAAGGTAGTACGTACGTGTGCAAGTAATATACAGGTATATGAATACGCGCGCAACAGCAGCAGCGGCAGCGGCAACGACGACGAGATGTTGCATGCGAGAGAGAGCTTTAAAGCTCCATATATATTTATATATAGCTGCGTTATAGGTATATAGGTGCGCAGGTGAAGCGAGACAAAGCTTCGGGAAAGCGACGCGTGGATATAGACTTGTGTGCGTGTGCGCGCCGAGCTTTCGCTCGGAGTCGGGTAGCTGCACGTCGCTGGAATCAGCCGCAGACGTCCTTAGCCGAGGCGGGCAGGTGCAAACATCTCTCTCTCTCTCTCTCTCTATCTGTCTATCTCTCTCTCTTTCTCTCTCTGTCTTTCGGCGCATACAGATAGTCGACTCTGGCGCGCACGCGACCGCAGCTACCCGACTCTACATATAGGTATATACGTTGCAAGCAGAGTGCAGACGAATATCAAGTCGACTTGTACGCAGACGTGCAATGTGCATATATAGGTATATATCGTAATAGTGGAGTGCTGAGAGCGATCGAGTACTCGCGCCAGATGGCACTGCGGCCGCTGTTGCTGCTGCTGCTGCTGTGCATACAGCGCGTGCATCCATGCATCGCAGCACGGCGGCAGCCAACACTGGTATATCCCTTCCCTGCCTGCCTCATCCAGAGCCACCCTCGCCTCGCGAGCGGCTCGAGTTTTTGCGAGAAAATGCGAGAAGGGGCTGCTGCTGCTGCTGCTGCTGTCTGCGAGCCCGCACCGCAAAAGAAATATGACACACACAAGAGCAGGAATGCAAGTCTGCACGCAGGAGGGGTGGCGGCTTTATAATATCGCGAGCTGTTATAAACTGAGGCGAAATGGACGGAGAGTAAGTTCACGAGTTGGAAGAGAGCAGATTGTTGCTAGCTGACCCAAACAGGAGAGCGTTCCACTTGAGCTTTAATTGTATATGACAATAATGACTCCGAAAATCGAGCGATGACTGCACTTTGATTGATTTGTAGGAAACGATCTTTAGCTGCATCAAAAAAATCATTTGGCCCCATTTCAAACGATGCAATCATCGATCGCTTCGATGCAATTCAAATTGGAGCGATCTAGGTTGGACGTCAATGAAAAAAGCTCGAATAAGCGTACTTCGGAGCCCGGTGGACTTTGGACTTGAAATGTATATGTTACTCGTGCCATACATCGTTTATACGTACAAAGGGACAGCAGCGTGTCGTTTAGCCGTCGTCATCCCTCTCCCCTTGAGGCGCGAATATATAGGTTTAGTCGAACGCGCGCATGGCCAGACGTGCCAGACACAGCAGCAGCCAACAGCAGCAGCAGCAGCAGCAGCAGCAGCAGCAGCAGCAGCGAAAGACGTTACTACATACCAACGGGGGAAGAACACGCGAAGGGGGCAGGCACGCGGGTCGCGCTATGTAACGTAAGTCTGTGTACTATGCCGAGCTACTACGAACTACGAGAAGTAGTATAGTAGCAGGTCTCACAACCGCCCCCCTACCCTTCGGCCGAACTGCTATATTCTTTACTCTAGCTCGTACGTGTAGTACTATAGATTGACTACTATACTTTCTCGGTTGCAAGCTGCGCCGGATCCGCAGCAGCAGCACCTCGCGTTTCTTATACGGAGCTCCGACTCTGCGCCCAGAGAGTGTGTGCGAGAGAGAGAAAGGTTACATACAAGGGTCCTTTGTTCCACGTAATATAGGCACACATGGGCTGAGAGCTAGGAATAATCACGGTCAGGATCGTGCACACGAAATGTATTTTACGCGTTACGCTAGCCCAATATATGTGCAGAGAGCACAAAAATGAATATTGCCTCTGCTCGAGTTCGAGAGTCGAAAATGTACGAGCTACTCTCGAGGGTATAATAATGCCCAGTCTGCTGCACTATGCGTTCGTCTAACAAAAAATGAAATATCGCGTGGGCATGAAAGAAAATTCGAGTTGCAGTGGTATAGCGACGATGAAGCAGCAGCAGCAGAGGCGAAGAATAACGTCATCAGCGTATTGATCGCATTACGATCGTATACGTACAGCAGGCTATATATAAAAAAATATATGTATAGCTAAAATTTGAGCGAGCAGTGCGCGGAGCACTTGTCCGCCTATGATAGGTCCTCGGAGGATTCCACCACTCGGTCTTTTTTTTTGACGTTTTGAAAAATCAATGAGTACGAGAGACGACGACACCGTTGCGGGCCGAGGCTGAAGAGAGAAATATAGAGATATAAAGAACGACGGGCTAGATAGAGATACATATAGGTATAGCCACTGCTTCAGTGAAAGGGAGAGAAAGAAAAGCTGCGTAAAAGGCAATCCTTTGAATGATGTACAACGTCGCAGCAGCATCAGCAGCAGCCTCATGCGGAACAAAGAGAAAAACAGCCGACGCCGACGAACCTTGTTCATTCAATAATGCATCGTCCCTCTCTCTCGCTAGCTCGAGCGCGGGGTATAATACCGTTAACGACAACTGCATCGCGTTTTATTATTATCTCGAGATTCCGAGATGTGCATTAATTGCATATACACGAGTAATGCACTCTCACGGGTCTCCCCTTATATACGCGAATCGAATCGAAAAGTACTCGTGGCAAGATGCAGACGTATACATACTTATTATAAAACACACGTACACGAACGTATAGCCGAGAGCAGAAAGGGCAATTATATCATATAAGTAGTGCACCGACTGACGAGCATATATAGGTATAGGTGGATGGACAAGTTCGACAGCACAAGAGTACACGTATAGCCACTGTTACATAGTACGCGTACTTATAGGTCGTTCTCTCTCTCTCTCTCTCGACGTTAAACTTGCACTTTAAATATATATCGCGTTGAACGCTCCGGAGTCACGGCTCTCTCTCGCGATCTTACGTATCTATGTCTGTGTGTGTGTGTGTGTGCAGTATAATGATTCAACTGCTGCAGGCAGCAGTCACGATCTTGGAGCTTATACGTACAACACTCGTTATTGTATAACTATATCGATGCGCGACTGCATTTGTGTTACTACTACTACTTCCACTGCTGCTACTACTATTTACTATGTATAGTCAGCTAGTAGTAGTACTACTACTATAGACGATGCGCCGTGTGCAGCGCCGTGCGTCGCGCTACTTTACGCGAATATTTACGCGCGACTGGCTCGGCTCACACTCTCGCAGAACGCCTGTGTATAACATCAACGAGTGTTGTGTACGTGCGTATATACGCGCTCGATACGCGCGCTACTCTCCTCGCACCGTCGTGTGCGTCTCCATATATAGAGGAGCACACGAGCTTGTATATATAGGTGTGTGCGTGCGTTATGCGTGACTCCGTAGATGTAGTATATGTAACGCGAGGCATAAACGAGCAACTGAGCGAGCAAGAGAGAGAGAGAGAGAGAGAGAGAGAGAGAGAGAGAAAGAGAGGCGAGTCTAAGTATAAACGTAGTACTACGCTACTGCTGCTGATGCTGCTCCCAACGCGCGTTTACTTATAGAGTATAAGAGAGAACGTAAAGTTTCGCGCGATCTCTGCGTGGCCCCCTCTGTCCGTGTGTGTGCATTCTGTTACGCACGCCTGTGTGAGTGCGCACGTAAAACTGCCTCAGCGTAAAACGTAGCGTACGCTAAAGAAGCAAGAATGCGTGCTATACTATATAGCGGCGCGTGTGCGTCTTCTTACTATACTCGTACTCGCACAAGCACACTCGCACACACACATTTATTTTTGCAAGCGCGTGTATATATTGTGTAAAGCACTGTATACATTTATATGCGCGACTTTGGAGCGTATTATATACAACACATTGCGTGCTGCGTGTGCAAACGTACGTAGATATCTGCATGCGTGCATATAATACTGCTACTACTCGCGAGCGGAACGGAACGCGTACATCTGGCCGACGAAAAATGTTAAAATAAAGAAAAGAAAAGAGAGTCGATCGACCCACGTATACTTATATTCTCGCATATTCGGAGCGCATATAATAAACGAGCTGCGAATTACTCTCGGGGCTACTTTGTAACGAGTAGTAGTAGTAGTAGTACACACCGTATAGATCGTATCGAGGAACTTGCGATGCTTACCTTGCGGCCCTTGTAGTGCGGCCAGTGTCGGATACACTGTAGGCGCGATTACAGTGCAATTACGGTGTGTAATTACACTGTGGCTTTGTGTGTGTGTGTGTGTACGATGCAGAGAGTGCAAGAGCTTATCGGCGAAATGGCAGATACATACACACCGTTGTACACTGCTCGTATTTGATACACGAGTTTGCTGCGGGGCCTCACCACCGATGAATTATTCTACCACACACACATACACACACTCTGCAAATGCATTCACACTGAACTCGCCACGGTCACACACGGACGAAAAAAAACACGACCGGGCGCAACGACACAGACATGCCAGAGAGAGAGAGCAAGCCTGAGCCGAGCGAGCGTATACGACTGCTCGCTGCACTGCTCCGAGCGATCCCGGAGTCTCTCGCACCACAACTCGGTCCGCTGCTTTTTGCGTATACACACACACATACACACCCACACGCAGAGTCAGACGTGTGTGGAGTAGTAGTAGTAGTAGGTAGTAGTATTATAGTAGTAGTATAGTAGTAGTATACTCGGTAGAGTACTATGAGCTGCTATATAGGAATCGGTTGTGTGTATATAGTGCACGGTGTACGAACAGAGGAAGAGAGAGAGAGAAAGAGAATTCACACTTACTATATTTACTACGAAACTACGTCGATCCTCCTCTTCTTGCGTAGATTCTTCCTCTCGTCTATGCTGTTTTGTTTCTTCTTATAATCTGCAGCCGAAAAACTTAAATATCAGATAGCAGAGGCGCCGACGTACATACAAACGTACGTACACACGAGTCTCGCGTTATACTACTCGACTGTGGGCTCTCCGAGACGACGACGACGACGACGACGACGTCGACGATCGAGTTGTAAAGAGTATATCCGTAATTGTTCCGCGCGCGCGACCAGAGAGAGAGATGCAGTTTTACTACGAAGCGTATTACGAATGCGGAAGATTCGTTACTGCTGCCAGCCACTACCTATACTATACATAGCTAGTAGTAATGCACGCATACACTGCTGCGAACTGCTCGCGACACTGCACTCTTGTATAGTTGTGTACTACACAAAATACACACACACAGTGCACGTATATCAGCGCGAGTATAGTGGCGCAAGTATAGTACTACGCGATTCTCTCGGGGGCTATCGTATGCACCAATACACGCTGAGAGGATACTCGGCTGCGCAGACACGGATGCACACACAGACACTGTTCGGGGGGCGACAGAATTGCAGCAAGTAGTAGCGTGACTTTTTCGCACTGCTATCGTTCGCGTCGTACGTATACCAAAAATATATATAAGATGTCTCTGGCGGACTCCAATTCGAGGATCCCCGGAATGCAACACTGACTTTGTCGAGCGGGGGCTGTATGCACTACTACTACTACCTATATCCAGTGCCAGCGTGGGCTCGCGCTGCACAGTGCGATATAAGTATAGGTAAATATAATACGAGTAAGTACACGCCGCCGTGCACGCTCCAATCGCAGCTAGCCAACTGACTGCTGCTGCTGCTGCTACTACTACCTACTACTACTACTACTACTACCACTGCGTGCACGAGCTCCGCCGTGCGTCGTCAGGCCACTATACATGTATATATAATACGAGGGTCTCTCTCTCTCTCTGCTGTGCAAAATATACGTATGTGTGTACGAGGCAGTGCACAGTCACACAAAGAAGTGTCGGCGGTGGCGCACGCACGCAACACTCCTACATATATATAGTTGGGCCGTCGTGCAGACTCGCTCGAGCTAACTGCAACGCGGACGAGTCAGCAGGCGTATAGGTATATAATGTGCAGCGACGAGCAGCTTATATGCATATAATGCAGCTAGCTAGCTGTATATAGGTATATATTCGTTGTATATACTAATTCGGCGCTCGAGCGTGGTGAGTTTTGCCCTGCCGAGACGACCCCTTCCATCGGGAGTTGAGAGATTCCTCCTCCTTCGCAGTTGGCAGGCTCCAGCTTGTGAGTGCTTGCAGGGCTATACATGTGTAGGCAGAAACTCGCTTAGCTGCCTGCGCCGTGCATGAACTCGTCGATGTGCGGTCGAGACTCGGAGCTGCGAGCTCACCCAGCTATAGGCATGAGAAAAGGAGCAAGCGATTCAGGGGCCAGGTCAGCTATGCAGCCGGCTCGCATATTACTATACGCGTTCGCACCTATTTATCTCACGAGTCGATCTCGCAATATAATTTTATAAAAAATAGCGACCCACGCAGCAGCGCCTAGTCTGCGTATAACATGCGTGTTATGTATGCAACTCCATCGCGAGTCGAGTCGAGTCACCTGGGCATATCGTGCTCAGCTACAGCTCTATAAGCTTCGAGTGCAACCGATGACATGGTTCGTGCACACACACACACTCGTTCGGCGCACCTACATATACCTACGACGAGCTAGCTAGAGCGACGACGACGACGACGAGAAAGGAGTTGTGTAGAATGAGATTTTTAGCGACGACGCTTGCGTACTACGACTCCCCACGTGCTTTAGAGACTTTGGAGTAGAGCTGCGCCTTGCGCTACGTACGACATATACATGCTAGCGATATTATATGTATACATTGTCGCGTTCAATCGCTACTGCAGCAGCACCAGCAGCACACATAGTAGCGTATTATATACGTATTATAGTATATGAAGCAGCTCGAGCCGAGTTCCACATACGTAATAGCGCGAGATGGTAACAGCTCCTGCACATAATAGCGCAGCTGCAGCGGCAATTACAACTACACACAACGCTATTTGCTACGCGTTATTTAATTGTCCGCACGCAATGGTTATATAGATAATAGCGCTCTATATTTATTATTGCAAAGTCTGCGTGCAGCCTACTCGCGCATAATTGCATTTCAGCGTATGATCTATGACGTATACGAGTACATCCATGATAGACAGGGGTAACCGAATCAATGCGCCCATCCCTGGACAATACACTTGTGTTTGATTTTAGAAATCTAATATAATTTCCACGTTTATTTACACATTTCCTTTCTCCTCTTACAAGACAAATTCGATAATGTATATAATAAATAAATAAAAATTTCAACTTTTCCAAACGAAACTTATCGTACAAGTGTATTAATATTTACAATTACTATGCTTAACTGCCCTTAGAAATACAACGATTGATATTTATAAACGAATTATAACATACCTATAAACAACGTTACGATTCTACAATTCTTACAATATACATAAATAAGTAACGAATTAACATCTTTTTCTGTTGTAACTCAATTTCAACACTATGTGCTGGACAGACAGCGACTTTTAAAGATATCAATATGCTACAGCTTAATCGATAAAGTAGATAAAAAGAAAACAAATATCGGTCAGAGTTTCGTTTCTGGTCGAAACTTTGTCGATGGCGAGTTGTTGTTGCTGATGTTGCTGGCGAACTGCTGGTGCTGGTGGTGCGACCGCGTCGGGGACACCGTCGACTCCAACACGTAGGGCCTGCTCCGGGCGACGATGCCGTTGGCTCTTAGCTCAGTATCAGTCTCGTCCTCGTTGTCGGCGCTATCTATGTCACCTATAATTCAACACATATACATTTACTACAATTGCAATAGTGATCAAAATTAAGAATTATAAAAACAAGACTTACCGTCGGAACTATTGGTCGAGGGAAGATAAAATGAGCGACAGGTGCCATTGACGGTCGACGCCGACGTCGTTTTACTTTGCTTCCTCGATTCTTGTGGCAAGGCGTAATTTCTGGGCAAAGAGATTTGACTGCCGTCCATGTCGCTCGCGTCCTCCTCGACAGGAGGAACGTTCGGCTGAGCCGGGCCCCAGTAGCGACGATCGGCGGACTGCAACCGGTTGGGTGCCAGCAACAGCTCCGGAGGAGGCTCCTGAGGCCTCTTGTTCGAGCTGCTTACTGCCAGACGCTGCTGCTGCCACTGGTCGACCGACTGCTCCAGCGCCGACGTCTCGTAGTAGGTCGGCACCGGATTCCCGGCCAGCAGCAGGCAGTGCATCTTCACCGGGGGCCAATTGGCCGCCACGGTCCGACAAGCCGGTGGCGATACGAGCTTGTCGTTGGTCAGCGGTGGACGAATCGTCGTCGTCGTCGCCGCCTGAGACGGGGGACTCCGAGAGGCCACGGCAACCGCCGGAGGCGGCACGATTTTGCCCTCCTTGATCTCCTCCTGAATGGCGCGCAGCTCCCGGAGCTGTTGCTGCTTCTTGGCTCGCAGCTTCTCGTGAATGAGGTTGACGCTGAGGGAGGCCGCGATCGACTGCTGCTCGGCCGTTGCCGGCGTCGTCGTCGACGTCTCGTTCTTGGCGGATCGCTCCTCGTCCTGCGTCGTCGTCTGAAAGGGCGTTAATCGGAATATTAATAAAAAAATCTCCGAAAACTAGGTGTCGCTGTATACGTACATTGGTGGTGCTGGCTATGGAGAGGGGCCTCTTCCAGAAGGGAATGAGCTGAGGCCCGTCGTTGTTGGGCCACTTGCCACTCTGGGGGTTATTGGCATCGAAGCCGATGGACAGCTGCGTGGGTGGCGGCACGAAGCTCGTCGGCTTCTTCTTCTTGCGATTGGCGTTGCCGCTCACGGCTGGATTGACGGCGAATCGGCAATTGAACACGCCCGGTATGCCGCTGTTGCTGAGCTTGCTCTTGCGATTGCACTTGTCGTCGTAGTAGCAGCCCGACGAGCTCTTCTCGCTGTACAGGGCGTTGAGTCCTCCCCCGTGGCTGTGGTCCCGATCGGACGCTCGGACTCGACCGTTGGCCTCGTACTGCAGCCGCCTCACGTGGAAGAATCGGTAGTACAGGCCCATGAAGCAGAGACCAGCCAGGAAGAGACCCGCGAGGCTGAACAATAGAGTGGCGGGCTCACCGGCCTGGCCCACGCCTACTGCCCAAACCCCAACTAGCAGCGAGTTCTCCAGCAGCATGACCGAGTAGAATATCAGCATCTTCTGTCTGTGATTGGTCTCGTGCAAATTCACGTAGGCGAACACGTAGACGAAGGCGAGCATCGCCGCCACGAGGCTCTTCCTCACGGAGCCGAGTTTCTCACCGGCGTGAAACAGTCCATCCGGCGTCAACAGCAACCAGGTGAGCATACTGAGCCAGTGCAGGCCCATGACGACGAGCATCCAGTGGGCCCCGTAGACCGAGGCGTAGGCGACCAGAGCCCCGACCCGGGCCGACACGGTGCCCAATCGCCAGACCAGCTGGGCCAGCACCCCGAGCCAGGTGAGCACGAGGCGCTCGAGATTTCGACGTCGCGCCGCGCCTTTACTGAACGAGGCCACGGCCCAGCAGACGCTCCAGAGCGACAGGCCCGCCGAGACCGAGGTCAGCTCCGCGAGTTTCGAGTCGTTGAGCTGCTGAGTCTGACCGACCAGCGGTCCCGTAGACTCGACGATCGACGAAGACGCGACTGCCGTGGCCGCGGTGGTGACTAGTCCGAGCGAAGGCGATTCGCCGTCGACGACCGCCGCCACCGGGCCGTACATGGCCAGCACGTAGACCTGCAGCAGCAGCATCGGCGCGGCCTCGCAGAAGGCGTGGATCAGCCTGAGCACGCACAGCTCCCTCACCTCGTGCTTCACGTAGGCCAGATCCACCGGTATGAAGAGCTTGAAGTAGCGCCAGAGCACGCCGACTTGACTCGCGTGCAGCAGCAGGACGCAGCCGAGGCTCCATTTGTCTGTCGAGGCGCGCTTTTCGACTTGTTGCTTCTGCTCTATCGCTGTCGTCGTTGTTGTTGTTGTTCTGTTGGAGCTGAGTTTGCCACGGGCTCCCCATAGGTACCACTTGATGCTCATCAGCTGTAAAATCGGTTGTAAAGAAAAAGAGTAGCTTTTAGCATGTGAGCCATAACAATTTATTTAAAAGGCACGAGGCAAGAAAAAACCACTTCGAAAACAACTGCAGCCGATGGTAACATTTGTTTTGATGTACGCGTGTATGTAATGTATACAACTTTTCGGTCCATATGAATTTATTTAAGTATTATACGATCGCGGGATGAGTAATGATAAGTGCATCGCTGCATGCCGACTGTCGAGAATCGAGAAGTTCGAGTAAATTATGAACGATCCCGCTGGGCCTTTCAAGGCTACTGTTGCTGTATCTGCTTATGCGTTCCAATACGAGTGTAATAAATTTAAACGATAAGCCAATTTTGAATAAGGACAAAAGTGTTTTTGGCGATGTGTGCATTCCGTGCTTTTCACGGCTATAAATATTAAATTTGCAATTTTCACACGTAGAAGAAATTTCTTACCTGGGAAACGAAAAGTGAAAATACGACGAAGACGATGCAGAGCGGAAAGAGGAGGGGCGGCGCCTGGGGATGGCTGGCCAGGGCGTAGGCCATCGCCAGATCGAACACGACGTCGCCGAAGTACGAGGCCAGCGAGACGATGTTGAAGAGCACGTCGCACAGCGGCAGAAACTCGTGCTGCTGCTGCCGAGTCGTCGTTCTGGTCCTTGGCTGCTGTTGCTCCCGATCGTCGTTCGCTGCTGGCTGCATGACGATGATAACGATGGCTGCAAGTCCAGCTTTTCCAGCACAGCAGCTGCCGATTCCACCGAGCGATTATTATCCATTTGGATCGGCAGACGACGACGACGATTTCGGCTCTGCTGCTGCTTTTGATTGGCGGTTAGCGCCGAGCTTGCACCTGAATCGAGTGATAAGTAGATCGATAGTGTAACGACACGAGCTTTTGGCAATGCGTCGAGGTCAATCGAATGAAAGCTTCAAGCCCTTATTTTGAGAAACAATCGTACCCAGTATTTTATTAACGATTTGAATTACGATCCCGAAGCGCAAAAAGCTCGCTTATGGTAAAATATCGGACGCGATCGATTGCGATTCGAGACCACGAGAACATATTTTCATCCGATCGCAATACATACAATCTAGTACTGGATGAAAAAACTCACCGCATTCCTCTCTGGAGCCGGTTGGAAAGGATCGTCGATCAAGGCCCTACTGTTGGCTGTCTCTCGCGCAAGCTTAATACTCTTCTGCCGTCGATCGGTTAAAATTTGCAACTATATTCGTACTTGTTATATCACATAAGTATTAAAATGCACACACTTGGCTATGGATTCGCGCGCTCGATAAAGCCGGGCTGCTTCGCTCGAGTCACTCGCCCAGCAGCATAATATTCCTGTGCTGCATCAGCGCACATATACACCACTTACACACGCACGTAAGAAAGGAGCCAGAGTAGCAGCAGCAGAGCTCCTTGTGCGCCGAGAATGCGAGGAATGCCGCTCCGCCGCCAGGCAGATATGTATCCTTGCTTATGCGCCTGTATCCTTGCGCGCTGCTGCTGTTGCCGAGGCCGAGGAATATTCCGCGCGATAATCCTCGAAAGTCGGACTCGAGGTGACTGCTGCGCAGCCAACTACGTAGAGACCTGGACCCGGTGAGTGTTGAGCAACTCGTGTCGAAGACTAGCTACCGAGCGACGCAACTACGCAGCAGGGCGATCGCGAAAAACAACATCACGTACAAATACGCGATGCGGTGCACACAACAGCCAAGGAGCAAACTGCTCGAGAGACGAGCGCGCGCGAGTAAGACAGAGAGAGAACGAGGCCCAGTTTGGAGCGCCCCGCCGCGGCTAGGCCTGCCAAGTCCTCCAGGAATGCGGCCCCCGATCGGTCCTACACATATATGCTGCAGCAGCGACGATTCGATCGCAGCCAGCTCGCACGGCTGCACATTATAAGCCCTGGCCCCGACGACTATAACTACATGCTCGTGCTATATGGGACTTGGGTCCCTGACCCGCGGCGCGGGATCGCGCGCGCCGTCTTACGGTAAATTCGCGCAGTGGCCGTACTATATACGCTCTGCAGAGAGACTCGGACTGACGATCCAAGCAAGAGAGAGAGAGAGAGAAAGCCTTAATACCCCCGTTCCGAAACTGTCCCCCGGATTATTCGCGACGTGCACATTTTATCTTACTCTTATTTGGATGCCAGCTGCTGCTGTATGCGTGTGCGTGTGACTATATAGCTAGCATATTTCTGACGCTTTTGGCCCGGTCTTCCTCTTTTTCTTCTTGTTGCGGCGCGCATTTTTACGTGCTGCGTGCCTGATCGGTGCAAAAGAGGCGAAAAAAGAGTCGGAGAAACCGAATGTTGACGCGTTTTCAGTCCGCGTCCTTCTTCTTTTTCCAGCGATCCTTCGCGGCTCTCTCTCTCTCTCGAGTCTTTTTTGCATACCGATATTTCGGGTATACGTGGGCCTCTTTCCATGCGGGATGACTCGTTCGATCGATAAGAGATTGCAGCCTTTTTTCTTTTAATAAATTCTTTTATTCTCGAATATTTACAAGAATTGATGAAAAACATTCATAATGGACCAACACTGCGTGATTGATGTCGTCTTATAATATTTACATATCGATACATGTAGCAATTTGTAAAAAAAGAAACAACAACAACATTGACACACTTCCAATTTGAACGTACAAAAGCAACGTTATAATCGTTGATTTTTTTATTCTAAAAATCACATCAGTCCAACGTTATAATAGATATATAGTTGCGCGTACACAAAATCTTTATTGCACTAATTGCCCTTACACGAGATTTTTTTTGTACATGCTTAAAATTCATTTATCAAATTCATTCGTTTTTTCGTAATAAAATAATGTGCCCGTGTTGCAGCAATGATCGTAAAATTCTCCTTACAAAATGTAATAATAATATGCATTTTTCAAATTACAAAATCAAAAAAACGAGTCGCGCTGTTCACAGAGACGAGTTTCGTCAATTTACAATTGACATTTTTGGTCTGTGCCGTCTCATTTCGATAATGAATTCGCCTACTAATACTTTGATAGAAAAAACAAAATATTTTGTATAATTGATAAAAATTATTCAATATTCTTACAAAGCTCTAAATTACAAGTAAACGTTTCTTTTTGTATCGCTAAGACCAACCTTTTGCTCCTACTAAGCACTTAATAATGGATATAGCAACTGTAAAAAAGTGTTTGTGCGATTATCAGCTGTTATCTTGTCACAAGGCGTCTCATTGTTATAGATAAATTTTTTTCCCTTGTCTTAGAATAGACACTCAGATACAGCATACTGATGAATAATACACGTAAAAAGGTCGCCACCGATATTTACAAGCAGTGACGAGCAATAATGCTAAATATAAAGATGAGAGTCGTCAGACTTTTCAAAGGCTTACAGAACAATTTCATTCTTGAAATCTCTATTTAATTCTTTGTGCGGAAGAATGATCGAATTTAGGAGTATCCTCTCGGGAGCCAGTGTAACTTTGCTTCCTGTAAAAATGCAAACAAAAATAAGTTTCATTTATTGAACACAGACCGCTTGTAAATGACAAAACTTACCGATTATAGTTGCCGATGAATTTAGCTGTCCGTAATTGTTGAACAGAGGTCTGTTCTCCATTTTAGCAAACGGACGATCGGGATTGGGATCGCAAGGAGTACCTTCGACCCTGGCCCATTCACCGATTCGGCTCTCACGACCGATGATACTGTAGAGGATGCACGAGTGCGCCTCAATGTGCGCGCTTTCTAAGACTATACTCTCGCGAATCCGCACACCTGGCCCGATTTTCGCGTCTGCTCCGATACTTACATTGGGACCAAGCTAGAATTTGAATAAAAAATTTAGAGACATTTTTTAATTTTGCGATTGCACTCATTTAAAATTGAGCGAAAAGACTTACCACGGCAGTTGGATCGACTGAAGCAGTCGGATGAATGAACACATCGTCGATAATGTTGCATTTATTTGTTTTTGTGGATGCCAATCTTTCAGGATTATTTTCTTTGTACAGCGCTAAGTAATGACGATTCACGTAGATCGCAGAGCCAGCTGTTTTTACCTGAGACCACCAGTTCTTGATTGGCATGGCAAACAATTTATTGGCAGTAATAAGTTTGGGCATGATGTCTTGTTCTAAAGATATATTGCCTGCTTCTTTATGACAACCATTGCTGAAGCTTTAAAAAATTGCTCTTATAAATTTTACCAACAAATTTCATAAGTGAGAATTAGTAAAAAAAACACTTACGACTCTTTTCCTTGACTTTTATCAGAATAGAACACATCAGCCATTGTCTGAAATATATCATTCGTTGCAATGTAAGCACCACAACTGATGAGCGTTGATACAAATGTTGATGGTTTTTCTACATAATGCTCAACACTTCCTTCTTCACTCAAAATTAGACAGCCATAGTTCAATGACTGCTGTCTGGTAGCTTCTGTAGCCATGATTGTAAGTTGTGATTTTTTACTTTTGTGATAACGCAGCAGCTCTCGCAGAGGGAAATCAGAGCAAACATCACCATTGAATACAAAAAAGCTATCCTCACCACCAGCCTTTATTTGATCTCTAAAATGATACATTGCTCCAGCTGTACCAAGGGGTGTGAATTCTTGCAGATATCTAATTTGTACACAATTTTGTTTTGACATTTCATCAGCGAATGGGTGGATTTCAGCTGAATTGTATGAGCCAATAATTAAGATTTCACTTAGATTGGGTATTTTTTTACAAGCTTCCACATGATGCTGAATCATAGGCAGACCAGCAATAGGAAAAAGTGGTTTTGGAATGTCTAGAGACAGCGGCCGAAATCGAGTACCTAAATAAAATAAACAACGATAAATAAAAATAAATATTTATAAAATAACTTAAAACATTACCTTTCGAGGGACCACCGATCAGAATAACAGCTTTCATGTTTGAGTTTTTTAATTACAGCTGTGAGGAGACTTGGTTTTCTGCTTCCACACGTTCATAAACAATACGTTCACGAATCTGGTGCAACTCAAACTAGTCACGTACTCTTCTTTGACTAATATACAATACAAATAATTGGATATGCTTTTTAAAATTTTATTTTGTAGATGAAGCGCGGTCATCTACGGTCTTGCTAATTTGACGATTCCGATTTTTCTGCTGACGTGACTTAAAAAGATAAAAACTATACGTCCAATTCTGACACGCCACACTTATCTACAATAACATACTTTCATATACACACATAGAGTTGATAGAAGTAAGGTATAGGCGAGTGCAGACTGCAGGGTTGTGAAAAAGCCGCGGTGGGAGACGGCGCTTCGAGCGATTTAGTGCCGTCGGCAGCAATAGACCCATGTCAACGAAGAAACCCGAAAGTCACTATAATAATAAATTTATCAGCGCATAGTTACTTGACTACTAGAATAGAACACGCAAGTTTAGACTATGTTATTTAATTGTTTAATTTAATTACAAAAAACTTGCTGATACTGTAATGAAGCAATGTCCATTTTTGGAAGCTATGTAAATATTGTACAAATGTAAATCTATTCATAACTTTAGTAATGAATACATTGTGTAACAACATTTGTGTTTCTGTTTCCTTCATTACTAATAACAGTAACGTTTTATTTTAAGGAGGCTGTAGCGACCTAAGGTGCACTTGTGTTGCGCTGCGCCGCGATACGTTGCGCGGCACACTGTAAACAGCAGCGTCTGCTACAGCTGTGATCATGTTTACATGCCTAGAGCCATACCGTTTGCGTCGTGTGACTCGGTATGGCTGCGATAACATATTTAAAAAAATCATAACTTTTTTATTTGCCTGAAAATTTTTATTATATCATTCGAAATCTAATGAAAAATCCTTTAAAATTTATTAATTTCATTAACTTGTAAAGTGATTTGAGCTCCACTTCCCGTAAGATCTAATGTCAAATGGCCAAAACTTTGAATCGCGTTATTTCCCAAATTTCATGATTTTCATTTTCCAATGTATTCTTTAAGAGTACATACTTTGTTTCAATTTCATTTTTTTGACTATCACGGTTGACGTGATATATCTCATAAGCATAGGAATTCTGGCTTTCCAGCGGACAGAATTAGATTAGGTCTAGTCTCTAGTGTACGCAGTACATACTACACTGCCAATTGCCAAATGCGCGCGCACTCCGCGAACGGACGACTGCTTTACTATATGTTAATTGTGTCTGTCTGCAAACTGTGTGTACTGTAGTGTAGTTGTATGAGTGTTGTGTTCTATCGCACACAGGGTTATTGAATTCAAGCACAGTGTGTGCGAAAGCGGGAAATGAAGTTTGACTGTTTTGCATGTGATAATTGAACACTGTGACATTATTGAATGATAGGGTGATGACTGACGAGTGATTGAAAAGTTCCATAATTAACAGTCGACTGCACGCAGCTTAGTTTCACGGTGAGTGCAACAATGTGCTTTATGTTTTGATTGGCGAAGACCGGCTGTTTACTAACCTCGTAGCTGATAACTTGTAGATTAGCAATTTCAATTAGCTCTATTAATTTGGAAATAAGAATACGTTTGGAAAAAGAATGTATCACGATGTGTCTTTATTTGTCCTATGCAGATACTCAAGTTAATAAAATAAGAAACCATCATGTTCAATCAAAGCGCAACTCTTACGACGACGGCAGCATCCGCTTCAAATCCAATGAAAGATTTTGAAGTTGCTTCACCACCTGACGATTCCATATCTTGTATGGCATTTAGCCCGGCAACAATTCCTCAAAATTTTTTAGTTGCGGGTTCATGGGACTCTCAAGTACGATGCTGGGAAGTTGAACAGACTGGCAAAACTGTTCCCAAGTCCATGCAAAGTATGACTGAGCCCATTTTGGATGTTTGCTGGAGTGATGTGAGTTCATTAATTTAAGCTAATTTTGATGATTTATCATAAATGAGGTGAATAATTGATTTTTAAATATTTGGTAGGATGGCACTAAAGTTTTTATGGCTTCCTGTGATAAACAAGTTAAATGTTGGGATTTGGCCTCCAATCAAACTATGCAAGTAGCTGCTCATGATGCACCAGTAAAAACTTGTCATTGGATCAAAGGTTCCAATTATACATGTCTAATGACAGGTTCTTGGGATAAAACTTTAAAAGTATATTAAATTTCAATTATAAAGTTTAATTTTGATTTCTAAATTTCTAAATGAGTAAATTAAAACATTTTTCATATAGTTCTGGGATACTAGAAGTCCAACTCCCATGCTTACCCTCAATTTACCAGAGAGATGTTATTGTGCTGATGTGGTATGTATTTAATAAAAATTTCTCTGAAAACTGTCAATAATCTAATTTCGTTGCTTAGGATTATCCAATGGCAGTGGTAGGAACGGCTGGAAGGGGATTGATTGTATATCAATTAGAAGGAACTCCTCATGAATATAAAAGGATAGAGTCACCTTTAAAGTATCAACATAGATGTGTTGCCATATTTAGGGATAAGAAAAAAGTTCCTACTGGATATGCTTTAGGAAGTGTGGAAGGCAGAGTTGCCATTCAATATGTAAATCCAACAAATCCCAAAGACAACTTTACTTTCAAATGTCATAGATCAAATGGAGCTCCAAATGGATATCAAGATATTTATGCAGTAAATATAATCATTTCAGTTTTAATTATTATATATTCTTGACATTTCAACTAAAATATTGTCATTTACTAGGTCAATGATATTGCGTTCCACCCTGTTCATGGTACTTTAGCAACTGTTGGAAGTGATGGAACATTTAGTTTCTGGGATAAAGATGCTCGCACAAAACTTAAGCCTTCTGAACCAATGGAACAATCTATCACTAGTTGTTGTTTCAATCACAATGGACAAATTTTTGCATATTCTGTATCTTATGATTGGTCTAAGGTTTGTATTTAATAGAAAAGTATGAAAAAATATTGCCTCATTCCATAATATTAAAAATATAAATATTTTCTAGGGCCATGAATTCTACAATCCTATGAAGAAGAATTACATTTTCCTTAGATCTTGTTATGATGAATTAAAACCAAGGACTACTTCATAAATTTTTGAACTATTTTTTTGTGTATTGAATGTAAAATATAGAATATAATGTTTTTCTAAATAATAAATTGCAAAATTGTGTATATTTTTATGGAAATCTGAATTTTAATTGTCTATCAAAGTGAAGAAAATAATGAGTTGTAATGAAAAATTCAAACTTGTAGTTTTAGAATTGTCAACTATACATAACAGACTTTATTTCACAGCTTTTTTTTGTTACTATACCAAAAATGTCTTTTTATACTACGTATATTAAACAGTATTTAACAGTTTTCATATCTGACTCAGACATTCATATGGTATGTACAGTTAGTCGTTTTACAGAGAAGCAATTATAAGTGTATTATTAGATATTTTTCATTATATAACAGATTTTTGGCTAATGCAAAAGGTAATGTTTGCCATTCACATTAAGTTTATGTACATTAGAAGTATTTTTTTTGTTGGTATGCATAATTAAACATACCATTACATTACGAACCATTTTATATTAGCATTATTAAAAATAACAGCTTTGAAATAAATAAATAATATAATTTAAATTTTGTGAAATTTATAAAAATAACTATACAAAAATTTTATAAAACAATAATTATTACAAGTATTTACAAGCTAATAGTGATACTTTTTTTGAACTATCACAAGTATTTGAAAATATTCTCAAAGGTTCGGATAGCCAAGTACGAAACATGTAGAAAATTAGAAACGTGTCTGCAATTTCGATACTCTTCTTCGATAATCTTCGTGAAACTTGTACGAGTGGAATCTTTCTTTCTCAAAATTGATACGTATTTTTTATAAGTAGACATTCTAACGACCGAAAGAATCGTCATCGTTTCTGCGCTATAATTCGTCTCGATCGTGTGATTTGTCTTGTTCTAACTTTTTCTCTTTGCTTTTACCATTAACCGGAGTATTAGGCACTGATTTGTCAAAGTCGTCGTCACCATCACCTTTAGTCCGTCTAAGCGCATCGCCGTCGTCTCTCGTACTATCATTTTTAACGTTAGATTTTTTTATCGTATCACCCTCGACTTCCATCGTAATGACGCCTTCCTTTTTAGTGCTAGACATTTCTACGGTTTTTTTGTCGTCGGAAACTTTAGTGTCTTGTTTGTTGAAGGAAAAAATTTTCATGGGATCAATGAAAGCCGCCCTTTCCACATCGGCTCCAATAAGTTCGCTAACGGAGAGCATTTCCAAATCTCCACCGCCGCTTTTGGCTGTCGCGTTGAGGCTTATTATGACAAAACGCACAACCAATGGCATGTGGAGCTGAAGGAACACATCGAACTCGCTGGAACTGATATTGTGAGCCACGGCATTGATGACACGTTGAATAATGAATGTCTCACTGTAAGCCTCCGACTGTGTTATAAGTTTCAAATCGGGGAATTTACCCGCGGTAATAGCTGTGACCCACATCAAGTAGGACAAGAAATACTGCTTGTCGACCTCTGGATACAGGCCGAGGTACAGAGCGACCATCGACGTCGTTGGCTTGATCTCGCTCAATTCTTTGAGCAACCAGTTGATTTTATCGAGCATCGTGGCATTGGCGATGTCGGTTTCATCCACGCCTCTCGAGTTCATGACGCTACTGTAAATTCGCTCTAGTGTAGCATTTTTCATGAAGAAGCCGACGTTGAGTCTTATCATACCGAACAGCTCATTGACTATCATACGTTTCATCAACATCCAGTTGGTCTCATTGGCGTAAGGATTACTGCCACTACTCTCGAAGTTCGTTTTAAAGATGTTCGAATTGATGTTGATGCGAACTCGATCCTCCAAGACGTATGCTCTCAAGTGCTGGACAATCAGCGTCTGCTGTTGCGATTCCGTCTCGGGATTAACGTCAGTTAACATGCCACCAGTTGAATGACCAAGATTCTAGATCAACAAGAAAAAGTCCCAAATTCGTCGGTTTTCTTTTCACTCTTTTTTTTTGTTTTTTTTTGTAAGCATCACTCAAAAACGAAATACCAGTGTGTAATACAAAACACTCTTAGGAACTAGATTTGTGAAATTATCAACACACTCATAAGAAAATAGCGTTGTCGCATGCATGCAAACTAAAAAGTGTAATTTTTTTTACAATAAATAATCGATGCACTTAATTATAAGAATACTACAAATGAATAGAAAGAAAAATTTCAAAATAATCAGAAATTTTAAAGAAGCGCAAAATATCACTTGTTCATACAAAAGAGCACACAATTTAAATAAAATTGTTATTATTTCATAATCGCTACTATCCAAAACGTCAATCCTTCAACGAGAACAATAGTTATGCACCAAAACATACAAACCTGAGAGGTCAATTGTCTAGTGAGTATCTCGCGCAGTTTTCCTTTAATTTTTTCAAACATCGACTGATCGGTCGGTGCTTTCAATTGTGCTTCTTCTTTGCTGGCTGTACCACCTATAAAGAAACAAAGGCTTGTAATTACGGATATATCGTGGAAAGTTTTCGACGATTGACCTTACCTATTGTAATTGTCAAGGATCCGTGCGAAGAGACGATGGCTTCGAGTAATTGACTAGCTTCAACGCTATAGAGAAATACGAAAGGAATCGTGACGTCTTCTACGGGTTTGCCATCACCCGACATGGCGAACAATGGCGAATTTCTGATACTCGAGCCGAGCACGTTATCGAGAACGATACCGGCGATACCTCCAGCTTTTTGAATTTTTCGAGCCTTCGCATCAAAGTTTATTAAGAAATAGCTCAAGATTTATGCTTGAGAAAAAACATTGAAAATAAATGAAACTTACTTTATCGATGAACATGCAATTGCCACGATCAACGACGACAATAGCTCCTCTCACGTCCTCGGCGTTGCCTATGTCCTCGCAGCCGAGCGAAGGATTAGCCAGCACAACTTTAGCGCTCAGTACTTGATTCTTAAGATCAGGACCAAAGTGAGCAGGTCCAGCCATCAAACTGACCTTCTGCTGTGTGCCTGGCTTGACGTATGTAACCAGCATAGGCACTGTTTCCAACTGCTGGGCCTGAGTCTTACTTAATTCTACCATCTCTTGCATGAACAAAAGTCCCTCTTCTGCATCTTGAGGCGTCTTTGCATTTGAAAACGTGTGCAAGAGCTGTACGCTACCATCGCCTAGCGTCAAAATTGTGATACCCATGTCGCTGAGCATCTTGGAATGCTCAAGATTGCTCGGTTGAAATTGCACGGCACTGAGGCGTTTCTTGGCTGCTCGTTTGGGACATACGTCTTCGACCATATTTCGTAAAGGTTGACGAACCGATGCTGGAAACAGGTGTACGCTGTTTGGACAAGTTCGGTCCATTTCCTCTACTGGCACACGTTCCTTTTCCACTTCCTACAATTGGTTCAAAAGTTAATCCACAGTTAGAATCATTTTTAGCAACAATAGCTTACCGTTGTCGTATTAGTCCTCACGGAGGCTAAAGATAGCGGCAACAAGTGTCCTTCAGTAGTAAAAACATATTCGTCCAAATCTAATAAGAGATCGTTGCTATCGGCGAAAAGCAGATACAGGTACTTGAACGTTTCCGAGAGTACGAAACTGTCCATAGTGTCATCGTGCTTGTTTGTTCTGACATCGGAAACGGCAGCAAAACCACACTGTACTCTCGCATAAGTCTGTAAACTCTTCAACACTTTACGTCCCACTCCGAGATAATAATGATCACCGGTTGCTTTCCACAGGAAATAGGTAGATTCAAGGAACTCTGGTCTCAACGGATGATGTCCCCAGTGTACCTGATACAAATTAGAAATTATAGTTTTTTTTCGCCAAATCAAATTTGATTTTACAAATAGTATAATTTACTTGAAAATCAGTTGTAAATGCCTCTGGAATAAAATTATGCCTTTGCATAACTTGATAAAGCATTTCGTGGGTTTCGACAGCTGGCTTTATATCACCTTTTAATACCTGAAAAACGTGAACGAGCGAATTAAAAAAACTTCGTGATGCATGAAACTAACGGTAATAAAATTTTTCCGTACCTGAACACCTGGCCAAAAAGCCAATAGTGCATCCATAAAATTTTTCGAATTTGTGTTTGGCCTGTGCATATGTACATCTAATAGCATTGGTCCTTGACTTATATACTTCATGATAGCCTCATAATGCTTATTAAAACGACCTAAATACTTTTCATCACCTTAAAAATATCGCAAGTAATTATTACAATCAAGACTTGTTATTATATAACTCATTGATAATAATAGATTACCTAGTAAGATGTAGGCTTTTAAGCAGTATTCGTAATAGGAATCAATTCCAGCACCAACACCGGAATCTCTACGCACCCAATCTCCGGAATTGACATTTAAAACCGAACCCATTAAGTCGGTACCTCGATGCCTTAATTTCCATAATACATCCATAGCTTTTTGCGCTTTTTCCTAAACATTTCATTGAATTTAATACATCTTTCCAATTTTTATTCATTATAAAATTTAATTACCTCAAATATTGGCTCTTTTGTAAGTCTTGATAGGGCAGCCATTTCTAAAATCATACTACCTGCACATGCAGTGCAAGTTTCTCGCATCATATCTGAAGGAACTCCTTTCATACCAGACCTTAAGTTTATCTGAACACATAAAATGGAAAAAATAATTGAATAGGTATGATTATTAAAATATGTATACAAACATTTTTAGTGACAAATTAGGTATTTTTGGTATTTTACTTACCCTTCCAAATGGTATTCCAGTCGTTGTATTAAATGCAGGTAAAAATCTGTATCCTAAATCTTTGGCTAGCACTAGCAGCTCACCATTATACCAAGGCATTGCTATTTCTCTTTGCTTCATATAATCTGCTAAAATATGACCACTTAGTAAACCACTGCAAAAATAAAATTTATGATTAATCATTAAAAAAAAAAGTAAATTAGAGGAAAAAATTATATTTACCCTAGCATTCGAATATTTGTTTCAAATAAAGAAACAATCACATCAGTATCAAACGTAACATCTTTTATAACAAGTTTGACAGCTAATTCAAATTCCTTTAAATCACCCATTACTACTAAAGTGTCAAGTGTATCAACCAGTGTTAGAGAAAAGCTGCAAAAAGGATAGTTACATTATTAAATGTCTCTATTTGAAAATGTTGTTAATAAAAACATATCTATTGATGTTCCTTACTTTCCAAGAACTGAGTCTATGTCTCCTCGATCTGGCTCTGAACCTCTATATCTTCCTTTACAACTTAATGGCATAAGTTCATCAGCAGGATAAGCATTGCTCATATAAGCATTATAGGCATGATAAAACATTTCTCTGGATTCATTTCTATTGAAAATATTAACATGATTACTCCATTAAAGAGTATAAATTATGACATTAAAAATTAACTTACTTTAATAATTCTCTTTCTTCTCTACTCATATACTCGATTCTTCCTTGATCAAATATTTCTACAGCTTCTAATATATTGATGGCAAAAATTATCAGCAGCACGAGGCTCTGATAAATGATTGGCTTTCTGACCATCATGATTGATTTAAATTTTTTTTGGTTTTATTTGTGTTTTGTCAAGAAGTATAAACAGTGCAGACATTCATTGTTTGGACTTATATCATCAGGACTACTTTAGTAAATTATTCTGGGTATCATTCCTTGGCACTTATTTTTTGCTAAAAAAAAAACATCTGTGAGTAGCTATACCTGCGTTTACTTAAATTTTTTCTTATCTAATAGTAATTAAATTTCATATACTTCATGAACTGATTTTATGAGTTTTTTAACAATAAAATTTTCAATGATTTCTCATACAAAAATTTCAAGGATTTAAGTTAAATTAACATATTGTTGATTACAGAATGTGTAAGAGTTAAAAAACCAAGACCACATAATCAGGCCGTTCATGAAAGGAGTATAACACCTGATAAAATCTGGCGAAACTCTGGAAAATTGCCTTTTCCAGGCACGATGATGTGGCCAAAAGTGTATAAAGCAAAGTCAAACGTCATATTTACCTATCGCAGCGAGCACGGAGCAACGACGACGACGACGTCGCATTACAAGTGCAGCAGCGCGACATGTCGGTGTCGCTTATACGCGAGCATCGCGTTTGATAAGCTCCAAAACGAAGAAATCAAGCCTTTTATTCCAGACGATGCAGCAGCAACCACCGAGCAGCAGCGCCGAGTTGAAGCATCTGTCACAGCACCTTATGAGCTAGCCAAGCACACGGAGTGTTTATGCTGCTGCTATGCAGGTGCACCCGCGCGCGCGACCACCAATATATGTGAGGTCTCGAGAGGCGATTTTTTTTTGCACGCACGATCTTCAACAATGGGCCGCGATGTAGTAAAGCAGTGCAGTTGCGAATTTATGTTTGCTGCTCGGCCGCTAAAACGTTTATTGCGCAGTCGCGAGTTTTTATTGCCAAAAAAAATTGTTTTCAATGCTGTATAACCAGCTCTAAATACCTGTTCCTTGCACCTGGTATGATAGTTTTCAATTGTACACTGACTGTAAAAAAGATTGTCTTTTTTGCAAAAAAAAATTAGCACTACGGAAGGAATATTTGCCATAAATGCCGCGGAATCTTCAATTCGAGTAGAAATTAAGTTATTGTCGTCTGCAAGTCATTTCCTTCGGCAACGGCTAACTTGCAATATGTAATTTCTATTGATGCTCGACAGAACAATTAAATCGAAAGTTTGAATTTTGCACGTTTGCAACAAGTTGACCGTTTAAACACCTGTTATTGTGAACTTCAAAATTGGCCAATTTCGAAGATAAGGTTTTGTTTACATGTGTTGATGTGTTATATATAGCTTACAATACACACTGACACATCGGAATAAATGACGCACCGCGACCTGTCTGAAAGCAGAGAAACATTTAATTACACAACGTCGGTATAGACGACAGCATAGAAATATTTTGATATTCCATGAGGTGTATACGTACATTGGACGTGTGTTGATAAATTTGTCTAAAACGTACCTTGTTTGTCATTAATAAAATCGTGACTCCAAAATGTTTGGAAGAAAAAAAGAACCGAAGAAGGAACGAAAACCGAGACCTCCGGGTAGCCTTGCTCAGGTTGTTATCTATACTTTGTTGCTTTATTTTTTATAATGATAATATGCTAAGAAAAAATAAAAATTATAACTAATCTTTTTTTGTAGTTTGGTATTTTTGAAATACCTGAAAATCTGGGAGATCTTGGAGGTGGAACAGATGATTTGGATGACGATGATGGTGATTTAGAAGCTGAATTAGCTGCATTGACAGCTGGAGACAATCCAAAACCACCTTCTAGAAAAGGTAGGAAAATTTCACCCTCTTTGCCAAATTTCAATTAATTTTCTATTCTAAATGAATCAAATAAATAATTTGATGTATGCCTTGATTTCAGCCCGTCCCAAACCTTCAGCTAATCTTGACAAAATGATAGCTGATAGCATGAAAGACATAAACTCAGATGAAGAATTATCTGGTGACGACGATGATCCTGATTTACTTGTAATGTAGATGTTTTTATTAAATCCTATGGGAAAATGTGATTTTTTATTAAAATTTTTATAATTCAGAATGAACTGAAAGAAATCACAAATGATTCTGCTAATGAAGATGATAGCCCTCCCACTGAAACATTACCAACTCCTGTGAGAACAACTTCAAATGAAACCATGAAGCTATTGGAAGAACGCTTATCAATGTACAAAACAGCAGAAAGTAAAGCCAAGTCCGAAAATCAATCTAGTAAAGCTAGAAGATTTAACAGAGGGGTCAAAACATTGGAAAGTTTGTTAAAAAATTCCAAATTAGGGCATAATATTGATATTAGTGAAATTCCACCTGTTCTTCCACCATCTGCCTTTCAAAATGTTGCTACTACACAACCATCATCAGGTATAATTCTTAGCATTTAGTTTTAGCCTATGATTTTAATTTTCATATTTTTTAACTTATTTCAATTTTTGTATTTAAAAGCACCAACTACTGACATTTCTCCCGATACCAATCCACCAAAGATAGGCGATATGCAAGATGAATCATCAAACAAACCAGATAAACAAGTCACAACACCCGAAGATAAGCCTTTGCAAAAAGTTGATAAAGATATTTTGAGTCAGTTACAAGCTCGTCAAAATGAATACAAAATTGCAGCTTTGAAATGGAAAAAAGCAGGAAATTTAGAAGAAGCTTTAAATTATATCAAAATTACAAAGCAATTTGATACAGTCATTAAAGCTGTCTCCGAAGGAGATACTGTTGATTTATCTGATATGCCTCCAGTGCCTTCATTGCCTAGTGTTTCTGCTATGCCTGAAAGTTCCAGTAGTAACAATAAGGAAGAAAGTGGAAATCAACGCTCAACCTCAGTTCATCCCACTATTACAGGTACATATCATTTTCTCATGTTTATTTGATTAAGATTTATATGTATATTATATATTATCTTTTAATTCAGCATCAAGTATACCTCAACCAACAGAAAAAGTGGAGTCACTGGAATCTGCTCTGAAAGAGCGTTTGGAGATTTACAGAAGGTCTAAAACTGTTGCTGAAACTGAAGGCAATTCTTCTAAAGTTAGAAGATACGGTCGTATTTGCAAACAATTTGAAGATGCTATAAAGCAGCATATGAGAGGAAAAGCAATTGCTATCGATGAATTACCTACACCCCCTGGTTTTCCTCCACTTTCAGCAGCTGCTGGACAGAGCAATGCACCATCAACAAGTATACCAACTTCTCCAATTTCAGAAAAATCGGAGCCAGAACCAAAACCTTCAAGTTCAACTAAATCAGAAGAAAAATCAGAAGGATCTGAAGCACCTCAACCTAAAAGACAAGCTCCACCTATACCACCCCAAAGAACTAATTCTGGTAAATTAAATTAATTTTTTAATAGTTTTTCTATCAATAAGATTGTTTAAAAATATTTTATCTCCAGATAAGAAGAAAAAACTTACATCTCGGGTTGATAAGCAAATTGAGCTCTTAGAGCAGAGGCAAAAAGAATTGAAAATTGCAGCTTTGAAAGCCAAGAAAGAAGGAGATTTAGATTTAGCGAGAGATTATTTAAGACAAGCTAAAGGTATTGATCCTTTAATTCAAGCAAGTCAGTCTGGTTTACCAGTAGACATGAATTCTATTCCATTATCACCACAAGCTAAATTACAATTGGAAAAACAAAAGACTGAATCTCTGAATTCATTGGATGAGAGTTTTGCAGTAATAACACCAATGGAGTGTTCAGAAGCCAGTGGAGATGACGCACAGATTTATGAAAATCTCGAAGAACAATTGAAAAAGCAAATTAAAGTGAGAAATTTGACTTCATAAGTATAATTATGTATTAACAATGAGCAATAAAATACAATTTTTCATTTTAGTGGTGTTTGACGACAAGAGATCATTGTAAAGCTCTCGGAGATGTAGCTAGTTACAACAAGTGGGGCAGATTAGCACTTGATTACACGAAAGATTTGGATATGCTACGTGTGCGAAAAAGAGACAACCGCTCACCCCCGCAACATCATTATGAAATGAGAACTTACTCTATTGTGCAGTCAGTATTGAAAACCGAAAATGTGTAAAATGATGTTCCTGTTTTGTTATTGCGTGCTTCATAGAGAGTATAAATTTTTACAGGAGCTGTACGGACTTGACGGACGCTGATATAGAAATATCAATTTTGAGAGGCATAAATTTCACCAAGGAAACCGACACTTACGTCATCTTCGAACTGCCGTGGCCGAGCGAATCCGTATCGACAGACAGGACTTCGACCGTTAGAGATACCAATAATCCGGAGTACAATGCCGTTTTCCCGTTGACTGGCATCATTGACCGCAAATCCAGACCGATGCAGCGAGTTTTCAAGAGGCACGCTCTCAAGTGCCAAGTTTGGGCCAAAGGGTAAGAAATTCCATTTTAAATTAATTTTGCACAATACATAGTTACTAATCGGCGCGATGATCATTTTCTGTATGTCTGAATTTTTTAAAGTAGAAATAGAAATATTTTTTCACGATTACTTGAACCGAAAGGTCAAGATATTATTTTTTGATGTGTAATACACAGTATACATAGAGTAGGACGTTGCTTGCAGATGCTCGTGGAATCCCATCCTGTGTTGCACCCATCCAAGGTACATCCCAACGCAAGTTTCGCCTGTGTTATAGACTCGAGAATAGAAAATAGAAACTCGTTCGTGTTTGGACTAATATGCAATTGATTATAGTTTGTCTGTATTTCTTTTGATACTTAATAGCTGTTTGTTGTTGCATGTGTAGTCGCTTAATTTTTTGTATTATACAAACTTTTAGTTTTAATACGAGTCAACTGTTAAGCAACGTAGTATTATACTTTATGTTTGTACATTTTTAATGCATAATTAATTTAACTGTTATAAAATTTTCAGGGGCTTCTTCCGAGCTGACAGCCTTGTAGGAACTGCGACCATTAAATTGCAGCCACTTGAAACTCAATGTATTTTGCACGACTCTTTCCCCGTAAGTGCATCAATAATGACATGAGCTATTTCAGCTACGATACTCGATATTAATTAAAATGTTTCGTTTTCAGTTGATGGATGGTCGCAAAGCAGTCGGCGGCAAATTGGAGGTGAAGATTCGTATGCGTAATCCAGTCCTCGTGAAACAAATCGAACAGAACAAGGATAAGTGGTTGATCATCGATCACTGATAAATCAAAGATTATTGGTTAATTATTGCTGCGCTTGTATATGAGTTTTATTCCAAACGAACGTGCATCATTAGCTCGTTTCAACGAAATTTTAATTTTGAAAAAAGTGACTGCGAACAAACGAAAGCGCTGCCGCCCTAAAAACAAAACTGTACATATTCCATAAAGAAAGCCTACACATTGATATTTTTATGCACACCGCTGTTAGTATATATTTGAGTGATATTTTATTATGTACATTTTGCAAGTGCTAGAGCAGAAATATATAAGAGTTTATTTGAAAAATACAGTCGTACAAATGATTATCAACGTCCCGTAGCATTCTCCGCGGTACTGTATGTATAGTATGTGGATCGACGCAGAAGAGAGGAGAGAGAAGGCAGGGGGGCGAGGAGTCACGAATTAAAGCTGACTAAGACGAGGCGTTCTGGAACAATACAGCAGGTGAATTTGGCCGCTAACAAACTATTGTCCGGTTTAATCGTCACACAAGCCAGCGTGGCGTACGGTACAGTAGTTGATGTTGAGCGATGTTGGATTTGCGGCTGAGCTTCCGTCGCCCATACGCGCGTGTGTGTGCAAGAGAGAGAGAGAGAGAGAGAGATTCTATCCAGTTGTCTGCGAGCGTTTATATTTGCCCTGCCGGGGCTATTGTGCTTTTGGGCACGCGCGCACACGAGGGGGTAGGAGGGGGAGAACACATGCACCCACACGCACGGCATGTATAGAGAGAGAGAGCAACATCGAGTTTAAGCAAGCGGAAAAATCGATGCTCTCCGCGAATTACGCAATTTACACGCTTTTCACGCGTTTAATCGTTCGTTGGGCCGTTTGTGCTCGCGCGGAACAATAGACACATGGCTCTGGTCCGCGGGGACATCGACGTGCGGTAATGGTATGGTAATCGATAATTTTTCGCGGTACTTTACAACGCGCGGCAGATGACGCATAAAAGTCCAAGTGCAGCTGCTGCTGCAGTTGCATTCGAGTTGCCGGAGTCACACAGGAGTGCTGAACAAATATAGCAGCAGCAGCAACAGCTCGACGGGTGGTCCTCCTCCTGCCGTGTGGTTGCGGTTGAGCGCCTTTTTGAAAAAATTCGACCGCTGCGCTCGCCCTTTTGTGGATATAATCGGTGCGCAGAGGCAGAAGCTCGCTCGTTGTTGACCTTTGCCTTGCTGCGAATTAACAATGTTTGCTCGCGATACCAAGAGAGAGGGAGTGAGAGAGAGAGAGAGGAAAAGGGTTGAGATGTACCTTTTGCAGAAAGGGTTAGTACGCGTAGACGCCAGATTGATGCCGTGCGGCAAGTATATCGGGGGGTGGCTGGAGAGCAAAGATCCGCGAGTGTATATATCGAGGGGGAGCTCAATGATATGCGAAAATTCGATGCCCGCGTGCCCGTTTGGCAGGGACAGGGGGTAGGGAGGAGACTAGCAGCTCGTCTCCCGCACGGCTCACGCGCTGCTGCACGTATAATTTGCGAAGAGTTGGCGGATTTTATGTATCTAGAGATAACTTCGAGACAACGGCGTTGTTCACTGGAAAGCTCTACGACGGTGCTCCGCTTGTACACATTTCTGTGGCAAAAAGTAGCTAGGCAAATAACAATAACTCTTTTTGGGGGCTCGCAAGGATTTCTTCTTTTTTTTTTTTTTTATTGTTAAGGGAGAGAGAGAGACAGAGAGGAATCGCGGTAATATGGGCGCAGCGAATCACTCCGTCTGTGGCTCTCCGAGCTGCTAGAGCCGAGAGCGAACGAGCTGGCGAATTGCGAGGCGCGCGCGCGCGCAATCGTCGAGAGATAATCCCCCGGACTCCGGAGCTTAAACGGAGATGATGACAGATGACAATGCCAGAGAGATAGAGAGAGAGTGAGCTGCAAGCGGCGGGGGGCTAAAAGCGAGGAGACAGTGATTATTTGCCTGCCGTTTCCTGCTCCAATTATTCTCGGATCACGGTGGCTCTCGCGTGCACCCGCCCACCCGCTCATATACTCGTATTAGAGTCATTAGAGCAGCAGCGAACTGTATACTGCTACAAGTCGAGTTTGATATTTTAATTTGCCAACGAGTCGAATAAAATGATCGCGTGCAGTTATGGCTCTACGATATATCAACGCGCGCGACGTCCCTAACGCGTATAATCGCGCGAAATGTATACTTGAAATATTTTTTATTTTAAATTTCATCGCTCTCGCTCTTACTGAGTCTTTGCTATATAGAATTTCAGTAATACGAAGTGAGAAGTCCGCGTTACAATGTGTGTGTATGTGTGTACACGCGATCGGTAGCAGAGCTCGACTACTGTATTAAAAAAAAACAAAACGAAGACGAAGGTGTAAAATGACGTCGAGTCAGCTTTTTTTGCTGCTCGTACACATATATTGTATATATTTTAATATTATATAGCGCTCATAGAGCAGCTTTATAACGTAGGATACACAAGAGTGCATTTATAACGTGCCCATGCCTATATGTATCTCTCGTGTAAAATATTCGCTCCTAGACTTTGGCAATCGCGTCGGATAAAAAAAGGACATCGGCGATCTGTTGCGCGTCGTCGTCTAACGAGTCGTTGCCTCTCGCGTGCGACCGATTTGCGATCGTGAAAAAAAAGCCGGCCGCAGAAGCAGCGCAACGACGATGATGAGCAACAGTATAAATGCAGTATATAGCTTTCCGACTGCGTCAGCAAAAAAAGGAAAAAAAAACGAATGAATCGCCGGCTGTACATTATAATGCTTAGCTAAGCACATATAAATATGTGCATGTGTCTTTTTCTCTCGTCCTGGCCACGATCGCGTTCGGCAGTTCTGCGCGGCCGTCGACGACGGATCGCGATTACGTTTTCTCGAGGCTCGCAAATATACACACACACACACACTGACGGACGGGGTAATCCGACGCCGCGCCATACTAGCTATTTACCCATGCCTCGAGTGTGTGTTGGTTGTTTATTCGACGCGCCGTGAGAGAGAGATAGATATAATATAGAGAGGCACTCGATAATAATAGCATAGTGGCGGTGGTGGTTCGACACCGAACTCGACTCGCGCGCTCGCGATATCCCAATGGGCGCTATGCTGCACAACCGGTAATTAGCGAAGAAAGTCGAGAGCGAGAGAGAGAGAGATAGAGCTCGGTGGTGGACTGAGGAAATATTCACGCTTCGGCTCGCTGTGCAAATCCTTTCGCGCGCACCCGACGCCGCCGGATGGATATGAGGCAATTGCGCCGACGTTGGCGAAAATTATTTTATTGACTCGCGCGAGCAAGCAAGCGGTATATACCGGCCCGAGAGAGAGAGAGAGAGAGAGAGCTTAACCGCTTTGCCGCGATTCTATATGCCGAATCCACAATACATATCGACGTGTATTTAAATGTGCTTTCTTCGTGGCACAAGCTCCTCGACGCTATAACTATATGTATGAGCTTTTGATTTTTGTACCAAAGTTTCGGAATCACTCTCGGTAGTACAATATTTGTTATGAATCGCGAGCGTTTAAAAGCTTCGTAACAATTTCGTTCGTCAACGAGCTTTTTTCAATGGTAAATGAAACTGCATCCAACCACCACTCGCTCATCCATCACGTTCTAACTCGAAAAAATTCACTTTCCTCAAACGAGCGAATAATAAAAAAAAAAAAAAGTAAAATCTCGCTTCAACGCGATGCACATTCACCGAAGCTGCCTGCTGCTGCCTCTTTATGCACGTGTGAGTGAGTTTATCATGCAGCGGATACTACTATACATATACGCGTGCAAGTATGTGTGTGCACATACGCGACGGCCGCAATGGCAGCAGCAATGCTTGCTCAGCACTTGGATCGAGCGCGGCTACAAGAACATCGCCCCCTGCAAGCTCGATCGTCGCAGCGGCAGCGGCACACTCTTGCTCTCTTACACGTACACGTGCACACGTGTAATTTGGGTATGTGTATGTGGTGTACGTGTTTTTCTCGTCTGCGTATATGTGCATAGGCTCGTCGCGCCCGCGCGTATCGCATTCTTCATCCTCGTTTCTTTGTACTTATAGCTAGGCCGCTTTTTTACATTTACAGAAAAGTTTTTCACTTCGCTCGGTAAACTCGCGGACGCGCGTCGACCCGAGAATTCGTTGGACTATCCCTATGGTGTTGGGTCACTCGAGATAAAAACTACGAGATTCCCTACTGTAAGACTTAATGAAAAGTCCGAATCGTGTCACACACGCGACTAGATGTAATTAAGCAAAGTCGACATAGAACTTGGTTCTATATATCGGATAGTTTATCGGCGAGAGCTTTGCTATCGACATATATAAGCGTCGTCGTCGCGCCGTCGCATATATAGCTAGGGAAACAAGAGTGAAAGTCTGCGTACGTCGGCATCTCGAAGGAGCGGAAGAAAAAAAAAGTCGCGACTGTGCAGTATTAGTCGTCGTTTGACAGCGCACACGTCGATGTCGCCAATTTTTCTGAATCTCGGCCAACAACACGGCCGCAAGCAGCGCAGAGTTCAACGAATTTCGCTGGCCTCCGCAAGCGCGTGACAAGCGAACGCGCGATCGAATCGCATAATATACTTACAATATTATATTTTGCGTTCGCTCGACGAAAAATATTACCGAGAGCTGTAAGGCTGCTGATCCCTCGAATTGCGATCATTGCTTTATTAGCGCCGGGCGCCGTGCTACATAATCGAATTTAAAGGATCGATTAAGCGGCTGGATTATAGGCTTTGCATAAATATACCGTATCTGTGTTTTCAAGCTCGCAAGCTCTCGAATCAATAAACAGCACGCACACGTGTAATTTGAATGGTTATCGTTAGAATTGGAAAAACGTCGAAGGCGCGGCGCGCGCGCATTATACGAGATGAACTTTTACATTCATTGCCTCGCAGTGAAAGCATCATGCTCTCGGGAGCTTTTCGCCGTCGAGATGAAAAAAGAAGCGGGTAAAATTGCCCGTGAAAAAAAGGGCAAAGCTCGCGAGCTCCGCGGGGCTGGACTGCTCTGCGCCGCCATGTTCTCTCTCTGCACGGGTGCAGGTGTGCACTCTCGGCGGGGCTCATCAGCATATACACGTCGCATATCTATTCGCTCGCGAGAAAGAGAGGCCGCGCTGCAAAGCAGCAGCAGCAGCAGCAGTGCCTAGCTTGTATACCAGTACAGGGAAGCGAGAGAGGTAGAAAGGGAGAGATTCATGAATGGCCCTCCTCAGTGAATGTTGCTGATAGTGGAGTTGCAGGCGTGGGCGGAGGCCGCAAGCTCTGCTGCGTTGCCACGGACCAATGGCCGCGCGGTACCGACCGACCAATGCCTCTCTGTCGCGACAAAGACGGAGAGAGAGAGAGAGAGAGAGAGAGAGAGCCTCCCCACTCAGGCGCGAAGCTGCTGCTGCTGCTTGCGACGAGGCTGGTGGTAGAGAAGCTACTGCGTGCGCGCGCTCGACGAGCCGCCCCCGGGCCAAGCTCTCTTGTGCTCGAGTCGACGCTCAGTCGACTGTAATCCGCCAGCGGCTGAGCTTGCACGCGCTGCAGCCTCGACTTGTGTGTATTTTCTTATATATATCGATATAACGTAGCTACGAATTTCGTATAGCTAGCAAAAAAAGCTCTTTGTAAACAACCAAGTGCAGTTGTGACCACGAGCAGCAGGAGCAGCAGCAGCATTAGTTGTGCCCGTGCTCGTGACCGCTAGTGCTTCAAGAGAGAGGGTGGGAGAGGGAGAGAGAGGGACGGACAGAGGAAGAGAGCAGTGTGCGCGAGTGTGCGGTACGAATTATTGGGCCCAGCAGGCGCCTCTGGTGCTCGAATGCCCGAGCCCAGGCGTGCCAGTATCATCCTACAGACGACCGCCGCTGTGCAAAGTCATCAACAGCAGCAGCAGCAGCACCAAAGCTCGCTTCAAAGCAGTAACGGTAGTAACGGAAGCGGCGGCGGCGGCGGCGGTCCCCCAGTAGTCGTAGTAGCAGCGCCGGTTGGAGCGCCGCCAGGCAGTAGCGCCTATGCAGATCAGGCCCCGGCGAGCAACGCCCCCCCGAACACGTCGACGACGATCGGTCAAGCCGGTGGCAGCAGCGCGACGACGACGCCCACGACCACGGGCCTACCGGACGAGGTCAAGATGGAGGCCGAGGAGCAGGTCCTCGCGCGAGAGTACGTCCAGGAGTTCGTGCTCGATCACCTCGAGCCCGACGAGGTGAAACGCGAGAGCCTGGCCCAGCAGCTGCAGCACGCCAGCGTCAAGGTCAAGCCGCTGCTGACGGCCCTGGCGGTGAGGGGCGCCGCCGCCGCCGGCCCAGCGGCCGTCGAGTCCAAGCTGCTGCAGCTGCATCACGGCTGCCTCGAGGGTGGCCCCTCGTCATCGCTGCGTCAGCCCAGTCAGCTGGGGCCGCTCACCCCGCCCCAGCACGAGCTCGAGCAGCCGCTCTACGGCCAGCCCCAGCCGGGGGTGCTGGTCAAGCTGCCCTATCAGGGGCCCGGGGGCACTCTGGCCGGTCTGCAGCATCCGGGCACGCCGCCCGACACGCCGCCGGTCTCGGCCTCGCCTCCACCGGCTCTCCAGCATCTGCAACGCCTCGAGCGACTGCATCATCCCCATCAGCAGCAGCTGCAGAGCCACCACCACCATCAGCAGCAGCAGCAGCAGCAGCAACACCAGCAACACCAGCAGCAGCACCAACAGCAGCTGCAGCAAGCCGAGGTCGTGCTGCCCGACGGCATGCCTTGGCTCACTCAGAGCTTGCGACAGGAGCCCCTCGACCTGAGGCCCCACTGCCTGCAGGATCATCCGGACAGCGATCCCTTGGCGTCGGACGGCGAGCACTGGCCGCCACCGCATCACCATCTGCCGGATCTGGTGCAGCACCATCATCATCACCATCACCATCCGGGCCCGGGACACACTCCCACTCACGGGGGCTCGCCCAGACACCCTCGGCACACAGGTATACAGATAGCGAGAATACGATACATGCAAAACAGCGAATTATGCAAATTTGTGCGCGTGCGCTATTTATAGTAAACAACGTTCATATCGGCCTTAACTTCACGCGCCGCATCAGTCAAGTTGACCTCTAATCTTCGCAGCTCTTCGCGATCTCTGAAAACGATATAGTCACACACGTACACACACTAAGCGGGTAAATAGAGCGACGATTACTGGTTTATATGTATATACTTCATTTGAGAGCTGCGAAAAAGCGGAAAACTATTATGGAAACGTCGCGTAGTTGTGTAGAGCTGCTCGCGCGCGCGCGACTCGATAACACACATTACGCTGCTCTTCGCTGCTTCTTCTTCTTCTTCTTCAGGGCTAGGCTTTGAATCTAATGAGTCGATTCGATTGCCCGCCCCGAAAAAAAAGAAGTCCGCCGCCGCGCCACGAAACTTTGCCGGAGCGGAAAAAACTTTTCTCTCTCTCTCTCCCCTTCCCGGGGTTATATACAATCGTTTATCCGATTTATATATACGCAGCAGCAGCAGCAGTTGCAGCACACTGTGTGTAGCAGTAGGATACGCTCCTTTTGCGGGGCTTTTAGCGGGCGATCGTCGATTCATATACAAGAGAGAGAGAGAGATTCTTCCGCCCGAGTCTCTAGAGAGACTAGAGCTTAGGTAATACAATTCGTAGATACTTGTTACTCGGTTAGACGAGCTTGCAGCGCTACGCAGGAGCGAGAAAATCATCGAGTCGAGCTGGAAATAGTCAGTAGCGACGATCAATAACATCTCGGACGGTTCATTTTTTATTCTTTCTCCTTTTTTTTTCATCGAGCTATAATCATTCGAATTCTTAAGCTCACCGAGCTTTCGCTCTTTCTCGACTGCTTCCTTTCGCAGGCGGCTACATAATGGGCGGCCACATCGAGTACTACAACGGCGTCGGTTTGAACGGGCCCCCGGGAGGCATGATGCCGATGCAGCTCGACGACCAGCAGATGCAGTCCATGCAGCCCATGCACCCTTCCCAGCAGCAACAGCAGCAACAACAGCAACAGCAGCAGCAACAGCAGCTCCAGCAACCGGGCCGGCCGCTGAGCGTGTGCTCGGGCAGCTCGTGCGGGCCCAGCAGCGGCGCCAGTCCCCAGCTGTCGTCGCGCTCGATGCACTGCTCGCTGCCCCAGAGCAGCCAGGACGACCTCGTGAACGACGACCTGCTGATGTCGCTGTCGGTGCGCGACCTCAACAAGCGACTCCAGGGCTGTCCACGCGAAGAGGTATCTTGAATGAGTTTCGATTCTCTATATCTCTCTCTCTATATGACATGATGAAAGAATGTTTCCTCGTTGCTACCTCCATGACCCTCTCTTTCTCTACTACTTTGACATTATTTCGATCACAAACGATTAAGCTGACGTGCTACAAGTCACACTGTTTTCGCGATGTTCATGCTCGGCAGATCGTGCGTCTGAAGCTGAAGCGCAGGACCTTGAAGAATCGGGGCTACGCGCAGAACTGCCGCAGCAAGCGCACCCAGCAGCGCGTCGAGCTCGAGACGGCCAATCGCAGCCTCCAGCACGAGCTTGACGTGGTGAAGATCGAGCTCGCGAGGGCCCATCAGGAGCGCGACATCTACAAGCAGAGGTACGAGGCCATGCTTAGGTCGAGGCATACCTTGCAGCAGCAGCAACAGCAGCCACCACCGCCTCATCCACAGCAGCAGCAGCAGCAGCAACAGCCACCCCCGCCGCATTCCCAGCAACAGCAGCAACAACAGGGAGGAGCCCCGAGTCCCGAAGTCTATCTGTGACAGCGATCACGCTGGACTTGAACTACCGCCACTACTACTGCCTGGGCTTGCGGTGAGTCCGACGTATCGTAAAACAAAAAAAAACCCTGAGATGAGGAGCACCTCCGTCCGACCGTAATAACGCCGGCGGCTGCGGCAACTGATGAGCGACACCACCAGGCCGTGTACTTTCTTTTTCCCTTTTACATTGATATAAATAATATAAATATGTCGAGTCGCAAGCTCCTTTTTAATTCATCCTCGAACGCTCGCATCCCCCAAACGCTCATACACAGACAAATCGACACACTCATACATTTGTATAGTAAACGCGCGATATAGCTAATTTTGTTGCTACTTTCTAACGTAAGATAAGATAAAAAATACATTGTTATACGAATCGAACGCGCGTGCGAGACGTTTCTGCCCTTTTTCCACGAAATCTACACGGAAACGTGACGACAAAATAAAAGATCCCGTCTCGAGTATAATACAAGAGTCCAGTGCGTATATAATTGCAATTCGGGCGAAAGCTCGCGCGATAATCGCGGTATAGCCACGAACGACCATGTGAATGTGTTTTCGAGTCTGTATATATAATTAGCGATAAATCGGAATACAAAGTATATAATACAGTATACATTCACATATACACATACACGCAGAGATCGTGTAAGCTGCAAGCAAAGTTCAAAGTTAAAAAGCTGCGTATCGTGCGCAGCAGCACACATATTAATATAGGCGCGTACGCGAGATTGCCAATGAAGATTATTATGAAACTTGGTTTTCTCTCTCTCTCTCGGGTTTGCTACTGCACGTTATACGAGAGCTTATCAATTACTTCTTATCGACTCGATAAATGTGTACAATATAGCCTCGCGTCACCGAGCGTCGGATTTAATTTATACAAACTTCGTTTTATATATACGAGCGAGAATTCAGATAAGCTCAGATGCGGCTCGTGCGTCTAATAAACTTCCAATCTGCAACATTGTATTTATGCATGCAGTGCGAGAGAGAGAAAGAAAGAGTCAAGTGTGAGAGTGAAGTGAGAATGAGAGAGAGAGAGACATCGCGCGCCTTTTTAAAGTCTACTTTAGTTTGACCTTTGCCCGTCGTATACTTTATATTACTCACACACATATCGAACGCTCGCGCGCGCGGCTTCGCACTTTTTTTACGTGCGCACAAATACATATACACACTGATTGAGAGATGACACTTTTTCTACTTCTTCAAAAAGTCGAATTTTGACCTCTCTCTCTTTTACTCTCCAGCAAAGCGAGCGTCTCCTTTCATAAAAAAGAGCTTTTTCCCCTATTAGCGAATCTTTCTCGAAAATTAATCATATAACGCGTATACTTCCGTTGTATAGAGTTGCATCGAGAGTCGTATCTTGGCTGTTATACGTTTTTTTTGTGTAACGACTCCTCTGATATAATTCCTAAAAATTAGAGTAATTAAGAGCTTTTTTGGTTTGTTAAGTTACCCGACTTATAAGCGTGATAATTTATGGTGCAATAAGAAAAAAAATAAATAACAAAAGGATGTAAATTGTGTTTGTAAATACTTGAGAGAGAAAAAAAATTTGTTACACACGTCCTATATTGAATCGTTTTAGAGAGAAGTATTATTTTGTCTAAAAAGAAGAGAAAAAAAATTATTAAGTTTCTCTAAAAATAAGATAGCAGTAGAATCGGTCGACGAATTATAAAATAAAAAATAAAGCAGAAAAAAATGAAAACATATAATAAAGTTAACGCTGCGTCGCTGCATTCGTCATTCGGTACCATTTTCCGAGCGAACGTTGACGTCGTCGTGCTCTTCTCTGCTCATACACACGCACATCGGGGACACGACACTGATACTTACGCGCGACGTCGTTACGTTCGCTCGTTCGTTCGTCAAATTTTTACAAAATGCATTTGTTGATTATTACATTTGTTCGGAATTGCGCATCGAATGTTTATAACACGTATTAATATACATATAAGTGTGAAAAAAAATTATATTATATAACGAGAGATACGTATACATCTATCATCGTGTAACATACATGTACATACTATGAATACATTAAAAAAGAAAAAGAGCAAAGAAATACGTATATTAATGCATATAGTAACGATTAAAACGTTCCAACGAAATCTTGACGTAAATTAAAAAATTACCTTAACGATTAATAAGAAAAACAATAAAAAAGTTTTAAAACTATAAATAAATAATGGAATTGTAATTGATATAATTGTAATTGATACTTGTAATGTCATAAACACACGAACACACGTACACACATGATAATAATCTATTGTCGTTTTTCGTCGTATTTCGGGGTCTATGGATGATCCGCGACTGCGACGCAGAGATATTTTAATTCGCGTTACATAATGTATGTCGTCCAATTTGTAAATAAAGTTAATTATTCTTATTATTATTATGATTATTATTATGTACAATTAACTATTATTTAATTAATAAATAAAAAAATGATGAATAAACGTCGATGACGACTGTTTCAAAATAAGCCAACGAGTTTTGTTTCATTATTCGTTCACAATATTCCTTCTAATCAAGCCCAAGCACACGCAAGAAACGAAATATCGGCTCGAAATCTCGCAATTATGCATGGAAAAGTGAGAAAAGGGCGCGGGGGTGGGAAATTTGGGGAAGAAGCGAAAAGCAAAAAAAAAATCAGAAGAAAAAGCAGCGGCGAAGAAAAGAACACGCAGTATGGCATGGAAAATTCCATAAGATTCGTATTTCGTCAGGTTCTTTGGTTTGCTGTACGTGTGTAGGAAGGTACATACAGATACGCGTGTGTAAGGCTTGCGCTTGTGCACTCGCCGAGTCAGCATTTTCGAAGACAGCAGCGAACTTGGTGCGCCTCATACCATATACGCGCGATCGTGTTCCTTTTTTTCTCTCTCTCTCTCTCTCTTCTTCTTCTTCTATACTCTTTACCAACGCAACGAGCTCGCTTGTGCTCGCGCTCAATTTGGGCCTCTATATTTGTATATAGTACGGCGCGCGATCGCATTGTTCCTGCTGTTTTTTTTTTTCGTACCTCGAGCTTCTCGTGCGCAGCCTCGTTATTACGTGCATACGTGCGATTTTTCGCTTTAAAAACGAGAGAAAAGAGGAGCTGGGGATCCACGCGACGTTTTGCTCGCTTTCTGCATGTATCCCTCTAACTCTCTTTCTCCGGGAGCTCTCCGCGAGCGCGTGTATTATAGTGCGTCGGCTGCGGCGCTTTAAGTGCGGGCTGCTACTGTACCGCGTGCGTGGTCTATCTTCGGATCGGCCGCTCGTTTCTCCACTTGGAGCCGCCACCGCCAGCATCACGAGCTTCGTACTACTGCAGCACCGTAGCTGCCGGCTCTAGCCGTGAAACGTATAATAATTAATTCAAGAAAAAAGAAGCTCGAGGCCCCGAATCTGGCTCTTTTTTTCACACGTAGCTTTCTAAGTTAACGTTATTATACGCAAAAGCGACATTATAGAAACGAGCAAACTATGCGGTGCCATAATTCCTTCGGAGCTCTGCGCTGCGCTTACGATACAATGTGTTTTATCGTAGCTGCATGCATACCGTACCTACCAGGTCAGGCAGACCACTGCATGCGCACGTGTAACGAGGAGCTAGAAGCTTCCGAGAATTCGATATCCGCATGCACGTATACCAAACTATATATATATCATCCTGCAGTGCAACTCTGGAGAAATTCGAGCTTTTGCAGCCGGGCGCCGAGGCAGCATAATATTGCCCGCTGCGCGCGTCATAGTTCTCGCGCGCGCGAGCGCAGGAATAATTTCTCACCGACGCGAAAGTGGCGCGCGATTTCGTGACGCTTCACAGACGCCAATCATTCGGCAAGAGACGAGATAAAGAGATGAGCAGAGCGAGAGAGGGATCCATTGATGCGAGACTCTCTTGCCGGCGAGACGACGACGACGACGACGACGAGCTGCGAGCCTAGTCACACGTACAGCGTGAGTGAGAGAGTCGGAGCAGGGGGTTGAAAGTAAGTATACCGCATATATACAGAGGGAAAGTGTATGAAAGAGAGATGTGCCGAGGGTTGCGCGCGTAAAGTCGAGCTGCCGCTGTTTCAAAGGTCGCCTGACGTCACACTACGCGAGAGAGAGAGATCGTGTGCAGCAGCAGCAGTTAGCTGAAGCGGCGGTGCGGTGGTGGCCCCGAGTGCACGTATATAACATATACGAGGATAGCCAAGCAACGACGTCGACGACGACGAAAACTAGATATTTGCTGTTACTGCAAAGATTCGAGTCGACGCCAGCATCTTTGACGAGCGAGCCACGGGCTGGCTCACCGGCTCTGCTGCTGCATGCGGCGGCGGCGGCGGCGGAGAGCTTTGTGATGACGATGCTGCGTTACTACCTTACTGCTCCATAGCCGAGCGCAGCGCTTTTACTGATGACGAGGCTAGCTTCTCTCTTTCTGCACGGTACACACACACGCGTGCACACGTATATATGTAGCTCAGTAGAGTCGTCTCGCGCGCCCACACAGACACACGTATGCGCGCCTGAGCTTGCAAGCTTGCAAGCTTCGTAGAGAAAGCCAACTGTGCGCGAGCGGGGGAGAGTAGTACACAAGTCCCAAGGACACGCGCACGCAAGCCAATGTATTATAGCCGCACGTGGTCAGTGGTCAGTGGTGAATGAACGCGATATTGCTCGTCGCTCGAAAGCTGCTTTGCCTTTTTACGCGTAATGTAGTTGCGCATCGCATCGATCATCGCGAGCCACAGCGAGCTATCTTCGAGCGACTATAGCTGGCAAACGAGTCGGCCAGCTCGTATAACGGTTCGAGCGAGGAGGGCTCGCATAATAATGTTGTAAATTGTAAGCTGCAACTTCTCTTTGAGAGCGTACATCTATATATTTAGAGACGACGGAAAAGATTCGACTGACCAGCCATACATGCACGCACGTACGTGGGCGTATACACTCATTTATAAGTCGAGCGTACGACGTACGTCGCGGAATGAATGTCGCTCGGGGGAGTCCGGGGGGTGGCGGCAGCTCATCTGATTAGCAGCTATCGATTGGATTCGCATACTATACTATCGACGCCCAGCTGTGCGACGGACGATGTATTGCCACGTGTGTGTGTGCTTGCAGCACATTCTTTGCTATTCATTGTGTATAGCTACACGTCATTGCCGGGATGCATAAAAAGTTCGAGATCGCGTCGAGAGAATGACTTATGTAAGCTGTATACGGCTGCACACGTCTTCGTTATTACTTTGCCTATTCGTGACTATGTAACGGCTATATAATACGTGTGCACTCGAAAGTTGAAAGTTCGCCAACAAAGCCAGCAGCAGCAGCAGCAGCAGCAGTACGCGCAAAGTTCGGTATTTGCAAGCGCGCGTCCATGCGCTATATATAGTGCAAGCTCGACGGGGGCGGGCTTATACTTTTTCGAGCCTCGCCAGGTATATAAGAGTTGTTCTATACATACCAGAGTTATATATATATATCTTTCCGTATAATGGAGCTGAAAGTAAGAGAGAGAAAGAGCCAGTGAGAGGTATAGTGAGTGCGAGAGAGGACAGAGAAGCTTTACAGCGTGGAGTGGGGGGTAGTAAGGGAGAGAGAGAGAGAGAGTGAGCTTTTGTATCGCATCGCAATCGAAGGTGGAAAGTAGGCGGGACCCGAAGCGCGAATCACCGCCGCGTATACTCCAACTCCGTGTCAGCGGTGTACACCACTACGTAGGTAGGTATAGGAAGGTAGGTAGTAGTAGTAGTGGCGTATAATCGTGACACAGGGCGACACTGCACAACGGCCGATTGTACTGTGCCGAACCGCGCGCGCATCTCATTTAAAGGTGTGTGCGTTCGAGCTTGTGTATGTCATCGATATAAGCTCTCGTATACAGTATACTGCATTTTCTGGACTCGTCGATTTTCGGTACTGGCCGCTCTTAAATATACGTATAACTGCAAGCTCCATCCGAATTCGTGTATACAATATAACGGTATAATACTTGCACTGCTATAGTAATGTTAGTACCGCGTGCATGTGTGCGATCTGCGCCACCAGATAGAGGGACGGACGGCACAAACAGGGCCACCCTCGCATCGTCGCAGCAGCAGCAGCAGCGAAACATTTCAATCGGTTCGAAGAGAGAGAGAGAGCGTGGTTAAATGTCGTGGCAATGATTTAGGAGCCTCGTGTGCGGACACTGCATTCGTGCGCGGCGGATATACCTCTAATATACACACTTAGGGGAGACCGGGGTGTGTTGGCATACGAGGTAAGTTGGCACACCGCATATTTCTCCTTATCAGCTACTTGAAAGGAGATGGCGCTACCGTTAATTTAAACAATCTATGATGATGGATGTTTGTACAGAAAATCAGTTTCGAATCAGTGTTGAGCACCGAAGCAGGGGCGATCGAAATATTTCCACAGACCGAGGAGAATATTAAATTCTACGAAAACTTCGATTATTTTTCCATCGAACAAAGTAATCGTGATAATTTTGTTTCTATTATATTAAGATACCTCTTGAGTAATGTACCGAAGTGTTAAATTAGTGTTCGAATAATGCCCTTTGTTATTAAGTGTTTTTTTATAATGTCGGAGTGATCGGGGCATATTGACACTAAAATTCTGGGGGACATTGGCACATATTTTTTGTCAAAAAAATTTTTTTTTCAAAATCGTTCGCAAATATATTAGAAAATTAAACAGAGCTAGTGCGACAAAAGAAGACATACTTCGTGCGATAAAAAGTATACGATATAAAAAAGCTAAAATATGTGCAGTTTCGAGCTTCTACATTTGTAAATGCTGAGGGACTGAATTTTATATAACAAAATTACATATAACATCAGTGTAATATTTGTTTCAGCCTTATGATATTAATAATAGTAGCTTCAATGAGTATCGCAATAAAACTATATTTCAATGAGTTTTTTGTGGAGTCGTCTAAATTATTAATGGGATAATCGGCAGTAGCACACAAAAATAGGGAGTATGTTTAGCGTTTAATGTCTGATACTACACGTACACTAGTATAGGTATATATGAACACAGGTTTTCGTAATTCGCGTGCCTCTATTATATATTAGGATACACGGATGTTGCTAAAAAAGTATACAGCACTCCATCAGCACCCAAACAATGCTATGTAAAATTTTCAGATCGATTTGTTTATGCCTGCATGAGTTATCGCAGTTAGAGTAAAACATCGAAAATTAGCAACATCGAATGTAGTTGCTTCGAATTTATTGGTCATGAGGTTAAAATTCATTAAATGTTAAATAAAAAATAATTCAGAGTAAAATGAACTCCAAATAAAACGCCATTTTTATTGTGCTAACTTGCCCCAAAGCTTTGCCAACTTACCCCCCGCAGGGGCAAATTGACACTTGTGTCTTCACTACATAAAAAAGCCTAAACAGGGAAGAAATATTTTTTGATTGGGATAAAAGTACATACATACAGTTACGTCTGTACAAGCTCTATTTATCTGTGAAAAAAATT